TGAAGCCATGGCGTGGTGTTGCTCTGAGTCTGTCCACATCAGCAGCCATTTCAGGATCTGGAGTCTGTCGGTCACCTGTGGACAGAGAAGTCCAAGGGCACCCCGGTGTTTTTTCACTCTGCCTCGAAGCTGTATCCTCAGATCAAACATGCACTTCTAACAATAGATGGGCCAGCCCTCCCTGCGGTCAGCAGAAAGGCTTCACTTTCTCATTCTAGAAACATCTGGCAGACGACGAGCTATGAGTCACAGGAGAGGTGCCCCTTTCTTCACGTGGGTGGTCAATTTAAACTCCTTAAAAGAGCTCCTGCCTCCCTTTGCCTGTCGGGACATGAGTCTCCCTGCTATCAATTATGATAGAAATTAAAATCTGCTACCTGATGTGAAAAACGTTTACCTTCTCTAATGACAGTGCTAAATATAACATACACGTTTATTTGTGGCTCCTCTGCAGACAGAGCTAGGGTTGTTCCTGCATCTTCTCACTGGCCTCCTCTGCCTGATCTCTGGGCCACCGCGGCCCCCCTGGCCCCTGCCCCACCTGGCCAGGTCTCTTCCTGGGCAGCTGTCACCTTGAACTGATGTTTATCTGCCCCGAAGAGAATGTGAACCTGTGCATTTTCTCCCAGTAGAAACAGAGTTGCTTTTGCCTTGTTTAGATCCTACTAATATTTGGAAAAGCCATCCTCCTCCCCCCACCCCCTTCCCCAGCACCCTCGGCTCGGTGGTCCTCTCGCGCCATCTAGTGTACAAAGGTGGAAGTGGCTCGAGCACAGTGTCAAGTCCCACAAGGATTCCAAGACCCACCTGTGCATGGAAAAAGCTAAAATTTGCCGGCACAAACTTGTGTAGTATGGGAGTTGACACGCTTTAGCCTGCCTCCCAAACTGCAACACAAACTTGTGTAGTATGGGAGTTGACACTCTTTAGCCTGCCTCCCAAACCTATTGTAATTGAAGTCCTTTGAAAACCGGAATGATCTGGCTGGGAAGAGCTAAAGCAGATTGTTCCTCTATCCCAGAGGCTCAGAAATGGAACCTGGGGGAACATCAGAGTCACCTGGGAGTTGTACATCCCCCGATGCCCTGGCACACCCCAGACCAATTAAATCAGACCCTCTGCAGTCAGACCTCGGCCTCAGAATGATTTACAGCTCTGCGTGCGATTCCAACGAACAGCTAAAGCAGCGAGCCACTGGGGCCATGAAAACACTCAGTAAGGGAGGTCTCGGAGACTGAGGCGAAGGTCTACACCACCTGCCTCCAACACTCCCCTCAGCTGTTTCCTGAAGCCTCAGTGCCACCCTGAAGTCCCTTTTATCTTGAAACAGTTTAGAGCCTCCCTCTGTGATAAGAGCAAAGTAAAAACTGGAATTATTGACTCTCCCAGTAATTGCTAAGTAGGCTCTTTGCCTTATCTCCTGATGCTAGGCATTGGGAAGAATATTCTGGGTTCTGAGCAGTTTCTCTGGCACCAGGAGAAAGCTTTCAAATGCTAATTGCCAGAGTCCTATAAGAGGACAGGGACCCGGGTCAACAGGACAGCCCCCTCCCCCAGGACAAATTCCTCAGAAATAAGGAAGACCTGCCTTTCTGATCGCTCAGCCCTACTAACCCTCTAATAACCCCTCCGGCCCTTTGTGAGATAGGGGTTGTCCCGGTGACAAGGAGGGGGGCTGTAAGATGGAAATGGGACCATCCAAGGCAAGGCTGCAGGTGGAGGGACTGGCCCACACAGGCTTCTGAGCAGGCGGCCTCCGCCCCCATGCTCCGCTGGGTCCCTGCATCCTGTCCGCACAGCGAGCCCGGTGCAGTGGCCCCTCACAGAAACAAGACACACAAAACAAGCTCCCTTAAGGTGGTGGGTCCCATCCTGTGCCCTAGACTGCCCAACTGTGGGGGCAGAAACAGGTATCACTGGCAAATCAGAGACTGCACTCAGACACCAGATGCTGCTGGGTTCTAATCCCAGTTTACAATGTGGGATAAGTCACTCCCACCCCCGGTGCCTTCATTTCCAACAAAAGATGTGATGCCTACCCCAGAGAGCCCTGGGGAATTAAATGAGGAAGATGCACATAAATGCCTGGTCCCAGGGAGGATGCAGTGACTGCCAGGCCCTCCTCCACCTTTCTGGTGCCAAGGCTACCACTTCTTTCCCTCCCATACCCCTGCTCCATCTTTCTTGTTCTTCAACAGAGGAATATTGGTGCAAGTTCCTTTGGGAGGGGTCTGGATCTTACAGTCTGGGAGGAGACAGGGGGAGGAGAAAGTCCACTAGAAGGGGGAAGAAAACATGGGTTCTGATCTAAATCTATGGCCCTTGCCAGGCATGGTCACTCACACCCATAATCCCAGCACTCTGGGATGCCAAGGCAGGAGGATCACTTGAGGCTAGGAGTTCAAGACCAGCCTGGGCAGCATAGCCAGACCCCATCTCTACAAAAAATGGAAAATTTAGCTGGGCGTGGCGATGCATGCCTGTAGTCCCAGCTACTGGGGAGGCTGAGGCAGGAGTGATCACTTGAGCCCAGGAGTTTGAGGTTGCTGTGAGCTATCATGATGCCACTGCACTCTAGCCAGGGTGACAGAGCAAGACTAAAAATAATAAAGTGTATGATTTGAGTATATTCACAGAGGTATGCAAACCATCATCACAGTCAATTTTAGAACATTCTCATCATTTTCACCAAAGCAAAACAAAACCCTGCACTTTTAGATATCACCCTCCAATTGGTGCAGCACCCTCTGCCCCAGTTGTAAGCAACCACTAATAAACTTTCTCTCTATATAGATGTGCTTATTCTGGACATTTCATATAAATGAAATTGTATGTGCTCCTTTGTGACTGGATTCCTTCACTTAGCATAATGATTTTAAGCCCACCCACGTTGCGGCGTATCACTAACTTCACTCTTATGCCTGAACATTCCATTTTATGGAGAAACCCCGTTTTCCTTACCCGTCATCCTCGGATGGACATTTGGGCTTTAATGATCATGCACAGTACTGTGATAAACATTCACAAACAAGTTTTATAAGTTTTCAATCTCCTGGGTACGTACCTAGGAGTGGAATTGCTGGATCATGAGGAAACCACCTGTATACTAACCCTCCTGAGGAGCCGCAGGCCGTTTTCCAAAGCAGTGCACCATTTGACTCTCCTCCGACGGGCTTTGAGGCTTCCAATTTCTCCTAATCCTCAACAGCCTTGATATTATCTGTTCTTTTCATTATAGTCATTCTGTGGGTGTCAGGTGGTAAACTTACCTTTTTATTAAATAATTCTAATTTTTTGTGAGCAGTTTTTTTGTGTTTTTTTTAATTTACTTACAGCCTAATGTTAAAAAGCTACGTGGAATAGAAGGAAATGAAACAAGAGAATAACCCCTCCAGGAGCGGTTACAGCAGCACAAGGAAGAGGGACAGCATTGGAGAGAGCAGAGGGCTGGTGTTGTGGGGGCACTGACGTGTGGGGGGACACTGGCATGTGGGGGGACACTGGTATGTGGGGGACACTGGCATGTGTGGGGACACTGGCATGTGTGGGGACATTAGCATTGTGGGGGACACTGGCATGTTGCATGGGGACACTGACATGTTGTGGGGGACACTGGCGTTGTGGGGGACACTGACATGTTGTGGGGAGGACACTGGTATGTTGTGGGGAACACTGGCATGTTGTGGGGAACACTGGCATGTTGTGGGGGACACTGGCATGTTGTGGGGGACACTAGCATGTTGTGAGGGGGACACTGGCATGTTGTGTGAGGGACACTGGTGTGTTCGGGGGCACTGGCGTGTTGAGAGGGGGACACTGGCATGTTGTGCGGGGACACTGGCATGTTGTGTGGGGGACACTGGCATGTTGTGGGGGGCACTGGTATGTTGAGAGGGGGACACTGGCATGTGCAGGGGACACTGGCATGTTGTGTGGGGGACACTAGCATGTTGTGAGGAGCACTGGTGTGTTGAGAGGGGGACACTGGCATGTTATGTGGGGGACACTGGCATGTTGTGGGGGGCACTGGTATGTTGAGAGGGGGACACTGGCATGTTGTGTGGGGGACACTAGCATGTTGTGAGGGGCACTGGCGTGTTGAGGGGGGACACTGGCATGTTGTGCGGGGGGCACTGGCGTGTTGTGGCTAGGGGGCGCGGGCAGGGCTGTGGAAAAGCACATGGAGCCCGCGTCTTCCCTCTTACTGACCTTGTTCCCTTTAGTTCACCCATGACTTTCTGGACCATAAAAGAAAGTTCTTTTCCAAGTGATCCCACATGCGGCATTCCTGACAAAGCGCTACATTCTAGTATTAGTATCAGCCAACACCACATGGCCTTTGTTAGACTTTCCCCTCGGGACAAAACCTACTGCCCAGCACCGGTCACACAGGACAAGGAGATAAAACAAACCCCCATTTCCCTACCCCAATGGCCCCTGTAAAGGTGGTGTCCAGGTGCCTCAGTGACAAAGCCATTGTCACAGAATTAATTACAGCTCAGACTTCCTAAGAGGTCACTGCCAGTCTCCACATTCAGGCAGAAGCACTTAAAGCCCTCAGACTGAGGAGTGCTCTTCTATTTTCAGCTTGAAAGATTATAGAGGAATGCCTCAAATCACCCTTAACTTGTGGTGTCTGTCCCCTCGGGCCAAGTCAGCAGTTGGAGGTTTACCACCCACAAACTCCCATAACCAGATGCCAACAGGGGTGGGGGCCGTAGGAACCTCAGGCACGCCCAAGGCAGCGGCCAAGAGAAAACCAAGAAAGAAGAAAAATCAGGGAGGCAGGGCGGTAATTAAAGACCACCACAAGTGGCCTGTCCTCTGGGGGGAGAGGTGGGTTTGCTGCCCCAGACTGATTTTACAAGAAAAGCCAAGCAGGCAGCATGTGGCCTGTGAATAGTGTTTTTACCCTGCAGGCTACACACTGCCCCACAGTGGCCACAGGTTTCTTGCTAGAGGTCTGTGGTTCACATATAACCAAGCATTGCCTCCAAACTGACAGTCTTATACTACTGTTCTTCAAATAAATGTGGATCTGCTGGGGCTGATGAAATATTACTCACTTGTCAATGTTTCTGAGTAGTTGCTTTTTGTCACTGTGTATTTTCTCTAATCACTAGACAATCAAAGCACAACAAATACCACGTGCAGTATGCAAAGATTTTCATGTTCATGGAGGTCTCTGTTTTGAAAAGTGTAAAGGAATTAATATATTTGGATCCCAAAGGTCCACTAACAGCGGACAAGAAAAAGAAATGCTGGAATAGCACAGGGGTCAGTAAACTATGGCCCACCACTTGTCTTTGTAAACAAAGTTTTATTAGAACTCAGCTGTGCAATTTGTTTACATGTAGTCTCTGGCCATTTTGGCATAAATAGTTGGGATAAATATCATATGGTCCATTAAGTTTAAAATATTTACTAGTTGGCCCTCCACAGAAAGAGTCTGCCCAAACCCCATATGGCATATTATAAAATATACCACAGCTATTAAAAAATGAAATCAACACAAACTATACCCACAAACAGGGAAAGACGCTCCAAATATAATGAAAATGTTTCACTTAAACTCAGACTGCCTTTGGAGGCGAGTGGGCCCCATCTACTTGGTGGATGAGCTCCATAATGAGAAAGGAATCTGAGTTCTGGGGAGCAATTAACCCCCAGGAGGGGAAACAGGACTCTGGGCAACTGTGATGGCACAGACCGGAGCAGGCCAAGCTCTGCCAGTCCTGGCTGGCCCTCTAGGGCTCCCCTCCTCTATTTCTTATCCAGAGGGTCCCCTGAGGCCACAGACTGCTGAGAGCCGTGGAAAGTGGTCCCTTTTCCCTACTCTGGGTCTGAGAAGAATAAAAAATAAAACAAAAAGGACAGAAACCAAAATATCACCATGGCTTGAGGTCAGCTGATCCATACTGAACCCCAGAATCGAACAGACTTGCCCACCAAGGCACAGCTGAGCAGGACAGGGCCTGGCTGCCCCAGCGGAAAGGCCTGCCCAGGAAAGAGTCCGGACCAAAGCTGAAAGAGCTCGTGGCTAAGCCTCTCCGCCTTCAATGAATAATGAGATAAGCCCTGACCTGGGCGAGCTCGAGGAAAGGAGCGTGTCCAGGGGAAAATCCCTCCTCCTGGGAACCCCAAGCGTCCCTGGAAGGCTCCTCAACACCCACCTTAGTGTGTCTACGTGGGGAAGGTCTGACGGCTGGGGGCCAGCCGGGCTGGGACCCAGGACCGCCAGGCACTCCCCCACACTCTCCGCCCGAAGCCACCCACCGCCAACGTGCCCCCTCACCCGATGGTATCAGAGCATCTTAAAAGCACAACTGCTTGACTTTGACAGCTGCTGAGCCAGATAAGAAGCAGGCCCTGCGGTGACAGGCCACACACGGAGGCCGGCGGGCTCCTGGTCCCCTCGAAGTCTGCCTTTCCCCTTGCAGCTCAGTGCTCTCCGAGTGCTGTTTATCCCGCACAGCATTATTACAGTGCCATTCGCGGACAGCACATCCATCTTCACTCACAGCCCCACAGTCCCGGAACCTGTGGGGCCCCTGCACGTCCCTTCGCCCCTGGGGCAGCCACCACTGTAGCCTGTGAAGACACTCCTAAAAGTTCGGTATCTGTAGGAAGACCAAAAGGAAAGGATTAAGTACCTAATTGTCTAATAGAAACCATTCCTCGACTATAGATGCTTCTGCATAAGTTTAATCCATCAAGACTTAGTTTAAAAATGTGTAAGTTGCACTCACCATAGGAGGTGATCAAATGCACTTAGGTGAAGTCAGGGAAGAGCTGTTTGCAAACTGTGCAGGACCTCAGCAGACGCCTTGAGAATCTTTAGCTCTTCCATCCACAATGTTTCCACCAAAGTTAGTTGGTTTATCAAAGCTACTTTTTCATCCTTCATATGAGAAACCTGGAAGTTATTTTTTAATTATTTTTTACTGTAGTAAAATATATATATATGTGATAAAATTTCCCATTTTAACCATTTTTAAGTGTACAGTTCAGTGGCATTAAGTACGTTCACACTGTTGTATAATCATCACCAATCTCCAGCTCCAGAACTTTTTTATCTCCCCAAACAGAAACTCTGTAACCATTAATCAATAACCCTATTCCCCTCTCCCTCCAGCCCCTGGTAATCTCAATTCTATTCTGTCTCTATAAATTTGCCACTTCTAGGTACCTTATGTAAGCAGAATCAAACAGTATTTTTTCTTTTGTGCCTGGCTTATTTCATTTACCATACTGTCTTTAAGGCTCATTAAAATTACTTTTTTAATTCCAGTTGTGCTTTCATATGAATGAGCTGATTACTCATTTATCTAAAATATTTACTGAATAAAAACTTCAAAGAGAAAAAAAAATACTTGGAAATCTATTACTAAGAAGTCAAGCAGTAATTTTTACTTACTAAAAGGTGTACATAAAAATATGGAATCAACCCAAGTATCCATCAACAGATAGATGAATAAGGAAAATGTGGGGTATGTATACAATGGAATACCATTCAGCCTTAAGAAAGAAGGAAATCCTGTCATTTGTGACAACGTGGATGAACGTGGAGGACATTTTGTTAAGTGAAATAAACCAGGCACAGAAAGACAAATACTGCATGATCTCACTTATATGCAGAGTGTAAAAACACTGATCTCATAGGAACAGAAAGTAAAATGATGGTTACCAGGAGCTGGGGAGGTTGGGGAGAATGGGGAGATGATCAAAAGACACAAAATTTCAGACAGACACATAAGTTCAAGAGATCTGTTATATATACATCATGTTGACAATAGTTAATAACAATATATTATATACTTGAAAATTGCTAAGAGTTTTTCTTTTTGAAACAGGTCTTGCTCTGTCATCTAGGTTGGAGTGCAATGGCACAATCACAGCTCACTGTAGCCTTGAACTCCTAGGCTCAAGCGACCCTCTGGCCTCAGCCTCCCAAGTAGTGGGGACTACAGGCATGTGCCACCACACCCAGCTAATTTTTTTTTTAGAGACAGGGTCTTGCTACATAGCCCAGGCTGGTCTCAAACTCCTGGCCTCAAGCTATCTTCCCACCCCAACCTCCCAAAGTGCTAGGATTACAGGTGTGAGCCACCATACCCACCCTCTAAGAGAAATTTTAAGTGTTCTCACCATAAAAAAAATAAGTATGTAAGGTTATGCATATGTTAGATAGCTTGATTTAGCCATTCCACAATGTATACACATACCAATGTATACACATACACATCATGGGGCATACCTTAAATATATACTACTTTTACTGGATGATTAAAAATAAAGAAAGAAGCCGGGCGCGGTGGCTCACGCCTGTAATCCTAGCACTTTGGGAGGCTGAGGCGGGCGGATCGCTCAAGGTCAGGAGTTCGAAACCAGCCTGAGCGAGACCCCGTCTCTACCAAAAATAGAAAGAAATTAATTGGGTGGCGCATGCCTGTAGTCCCAGCTTCTCGGGAGGCTGAGGCAGTAGGATCGCTGAGCCCAGGAGATTGAGGTTGCTGTGAGCCAGGCTGACGCCACGGCACTCACTCTAGCCTGGGCAACAAAGTGAGACTCTGTCTCAAAAAAAAAAAAAAAAAAAAAAAAAAAAAAAAATTGAAAAAAAAATAAAGAAAGAAAAAAATTGAAAAAAAAGGTACAGCAACAATTTTAACAGTAAAAAATAGAGATTACATTTCCTCATTAGTATAGTGGTGAGTAAATAGGAAACATAATAGAAACCAGTAAGATTTTTTTGAAAAATAATTAAAATTCAAAAACTAGAGATTACATCAACATTTATTTATTAATATTTAAGGCACTAAACAGCTCCTATAAAATGTACTATTCCTAATAACACCTATACAGCAAGTAAATACTTAAGGCACGTCTTTAAGTAAAGGATATAATATTCTAGAAATATACCTTTTGAAGCACAGCATTAGTCTCCTCTATGAAATAACAGCATATTTTCTGTGCTATGTCCAAACTTGCCTTCTCATTTGTATCTGAAATTACTTCCCCAAGAAGTACTTTTTTCCAGCATGTACTAGAACCAAAATTAATAAGATAATTTCAGCAGGCTCTCAAAAATTAAAGATGACTTCTACACATCACAAAACTCTTCTCCTATTTTTCCAAAGCATAATAAAACTCATTCCATAAGCAGATTCCTCAAAACCTCCGCGTACTTGCAGCTCCTGTGTGGAAGCAGGTAAGGAATGTAAGAAAAAAGGGGTAACCGAGAATACACAGCAAGGGGTCTGGGTGCTCTGTGCAGGCAGGGACTGAGTTTAATTATCACCGCAACCCTGTGTCTGGCACAGAAGTAAGTGGAGTCACACCCAATTGCCATGGGGATACTGTAAGAGACAGACGGGAGGACCAGGCCACAGCCACAGCCGAAAGGCCAGACAACTAAGGAACAAAGGCAGGAGAGTTTTCCTTCTCTTCAAGTGCCAGTCTGTCCTGAAAAAAAGGCAAACTGGAACACCTTTCACAAAATAAAATGCTCTACCTATGGCAGTAGAAATCGACAGCCAAGCCTTTCTCTACGTGCAGCTCATTCCAATTTTATACACAAAGGTTTGTAGGAAACGAGGCCGTGAGCAGGTGGGAGAGGGTGGCGTGTCAGCACAGGCACAAGGGAGCCCACGCTCGATGCTGAGCCAGGGGTGGCAGAGGCACTAAGCAGGGAGGAGGAGGGTGGTGGGACAGACTCTGGACGGAGAGAATCCACAAGAGGAAGGTAAGAAGGCTGCTGTGAACATATACAGAAGCCAGTTAGAAATTCAAACTGGATGACAAGACAAAACAGAGAATGGTCTTAGAAGTCTGCAACTTAAGAGGTGACAGTTGAAATCTCGAGAATCTATGTGTTCCCAGGAGAAAAAGAAGGAAATTACCATGTGTCACGCACAGTATTTCATGTACAACCATTATCTAATTTAATCCTCAGAATTACTGAGCAAAGAAGATTACCCCCATGTTAGGCTCAAGGAAACTGAGAATCAGGAAAGGTGGAAACTCGTCCTCAGTGAGGGGCAGAAAGAGCATGCAACATGTCACTGGCAGAATCCCAGCCATGTGCTCTCTCTGCCACACCACTCAGTTAGAAATAACTCAAAGGGAAGAAAAGGGACCCTCAGGAAGGCCTCTGGGAAAGATCCAGTCATTGTATTTAACTTAGGCTGAAGTGTCTGAAAAGGACTCATACCTCGTTCCCAGAAGGATTTAAAGAAGCTTACACAGGTACACACAAGATAAAATAAAATGTCAGAACAACGACAGGAGAGAAGGTCAGATACAGCCAGGAATGACTCAGTGATAAAGTACAAGCCTTAAGATGCTACACATTTGGATGAACCTCAAATTTGCCTGAGTTTTCTAGTGAGCAATGAAAAGAAGGAAACATATCAGTTACAGAATTCACAGAGTCTATAAAGTAAAAACACATCGTTTGCTGAGAATAAAAACAACTTTTTCTGGTGTCGACAATGGGGAGAAATTTTACTCCCCAAATACCTACAGAAAAAGAAGTAACATCTGAAATAACAACAGGCACCACTGAATGAGCACTGACTACCTCCAGGTGCTGTGCTAAGGGCTATGCAAGGCATCAGCTCATTTACTGCGCGATGGGCTGCACCATTTTCGGGAAGGCCTCCCTGGGCACCCAGCAGCAGCAAGGTGGAGGCTGTTCTCCCACACAGGGACCCACTGAAGCAGCTGTATGTGCCACAGGTGGCCGCAGGGAACAGGACTGACAGCCTCACAGGAATATTAAGGAGCCTGGCCAGGATGCTCACCTGCGCCGGGGATCCTCTATGTCCCTGGAAATACCTAGGCCTCTCCTTCAGCAGGGCTTCTAGATCTGCCCCAGGGCGGGACCAGGTGGTGCTGTGGTTAGGAGCTCTGCTTGCTCCCAGGAAAAACCTACCTACTCGGAGACTTTCCTCTGAATAGTGCCAGTGCTCAATTTTGTAAAATATTAACCTTGAACAACAAAGATGAGGTCACCAGGAGGAATGTAAGAAAGAAGGGGTAACTGAGAATACACAGCAAGGGGTCTAGGTGCTCTGTGCAGGCAGGGACTGAGTTTAATTATCATCTCAACCCTGTGTCTGGCGCAGAAGTAAGTGGAGTCACACCCAATTGCCATGGGGATACAATAAGAGACAGTAGGGAGGACGAGGCCACAGCCGAAAGGCCAGACAACTAAGGAGCAAAGGCAGGAGAGTTTTCCTTCTCTTCAAGTGCCAGTCTGTCTTGAGCACAGTCTTGAGCACAGGCTGAAAAACTCTCAGAACCATGTACCTTGATTATGATTCTAAAACTACAATTCCAGAAACAGTTAAAACTTATAAGTAAAACACTCACTACATGGGCAAGTCACATAATGAATAAGCAACTCCAATGTACAATGACTGTCCTTATTCCTCTCAGGTTGGGTATTTAAATGCAAGCCAAAAATAACAACAAAAAAGAAACCAGTTATATCCAGATAGTCAGATAGTGGCTGTAGGTTAACACCAATGCACGTGGAACTTACAACTTTCCGGCTTCCAGACACAACAACTTAAGAGCTGTGAGTAACCTCCAAGATGGTCCATCCCATCCAAATGTCAAATTTCTGAAGCAGAAAAACAAATAACGACAAATCCATCACTTCAATATTTCATGACACCATGGCAAATGGTTGAAGGGCCAAACATATTTTTCAAGGGGCTATTAAATGTTATGTAACCTGCAATCTTGGTCAAAAAAACAAGAGAAAAATAAGTCTGCAAATACTTACGAATAAAGCTTAAGTAACCGAAAATTCTCTTCCTTTTTTTGTTTAAAGAATAAAAAAGCTATTTTTCAATTAATTTTAGTAAGAAGCTCAATTTAGATGAAGGGGCCCCAGTGAGAGGCCCACGCCAGAGTTCACAGTGAGATGAATGATGAAGAATTTGGATTTTCCTTGGGATTAAACCAATGGCAGCCACCACAGCTAGACTGCTCTCATACTACGACTGGATTATTTAAAACTGAATTTTACCCAGAAAAGAAAACTGGAAAGGGAGAGCCTCGAACCCAGTTCATCTCACCTGTCATGGAATCACCCAGCCACCCTACCCTAAGAGCCTGTACCCTGCTGCCAGGTGACTCGGATTCTCAGAGGGCCAACCTCATCTGCAGTAGCCCTCCCCTTCCCACTTGGCCACAGGTGGGCACAAACTCATCCTGGGCCACCAATTAAAACATACACAGCTCTTCTTTAGTACAGTAATTTCATATTTCAAGATTTTATTTCATGTCCCCAAATAAGTTTCTTTAAAGTGTCTTATACTGCTTGTGTTCCCCTATAACAATAAGCATAATTTTACTATGCATAATAGGTGCTCAATAAACACTTATCAGCTCATAGAGTCAGGAGGCATCTCACCCTGCAGAAACCCCACCCCTCAAGTTTTTCCTGAAAGAATAATTTCAAGAGGGAAAGAGAAACACTTACTCTATAAAGCCATGATCCTTTAAAATGGAAATCTTTTTGTTCATCTGTTTATCTGATGATGGAAGATATTTAACAAGTATTTCTACATAAAAAAAAATATTAGATAAATTTAGGATGTAATTCAGATACAAGTGTGTCTTTTCTTCCTTTCTCAACTCACTTTCCTTCCCATTAGCAATCAAGACATGTATAAATAGTTTTACCTAACTCACATGAAAAAAAGTCTATTCTTCAAGTCCAATTCAATAAGATCATTATTTAGTCCCTAAAAAGCTGAAAGAATCTCAAGGCCAGTGGACAAAGCATCCACAGCCTCAGTTCATGCTCCACTAAATAAATCAACCAACAAAATCAGGTAGTTACAATCTTAGCATAACTGTTGGAAAATTACAACCAATGAAAGCATAGGCTCTGTACAAACATGAGGAAAGATTTGTATTATTGAGTTTCTTAAAAGCCAGAATTCAAATTAGTCTGGACATTAGTGACTGCAACCATAACAACTTAAAGTTAACATGCAAAAATTAACAAAGGTATTTGGGGGAGTAGGGTAATGAGGAATTTTTCTATTGTAACATATAAAAATAACTAAAATATAATTTTTGTTCAAATTAATTTATTTAACAAATTAATATTTCATGACCATCAATATTAAATTTATTAGAATTCTGAAAACATGAGCCCAATCTCAAAATTAATTTTCTGGCAACAAGGCCCAGTTTTTACTTTTCCATTTTTATTTCAAGAAATAACATTATTATTCTGCCTACAAGATGAGAAGTATCACCTTAACCAAGTTTCTCTTTCCATACTAACTTAAATTTAAAATAACTCAAATTATATACTTGGTAAATCTCTGGTCATTTTTTAATGGCCTATAAAACTGCTACTCTGCTATTTCAAAAGGGGAAAAATCAGTCTTCTATATAACTATTTTTAATACTATATTTGGGATTTTCACAACACACATTTAGCAGCTAAATTATTATTTTAAAATAGTAATACCAATGATGATAGCTAGTTAATAGATTGCAAAAGAACATAAATGAAACCAAACCTTATCATGGCATTAAACTCTAAAAACAAGGACTATGTAATAGATTTATCTCTGTGTGTGATTAGCACAGTATTTTATACACAGCAGGTGGTTAATATATTTTTTTGTTGTTGCTCTCTAATCTCATTCTATCCTTATTGACAGTAATGACATATCAGTATAAAAATTTCCATTTCTGCCAGGTGCAGTGGCTCACACCTGTAATCCCAGCACTCTGGAAGCCTATGGTAGGAGGATCACTTGAGGCCAGTAGTTTGAGACCAGCTTGGGCAACATAGTGAGACCCATCTATAAAAATTTCCATTTCTTTCCATTCTTTAATATTAAGCTTATTTTCTTGGCAGTTTTCCTTTTCTTCCATTCTATCTTCTGACCTAATGCAAGAAAACTTTTCTGAGTTCTTCTTATCCTCAACATCAATCCAAGGCTTGTTGTTTTTACTTTAACATTGAAATTACAGTCAGTAAGAGTAAGGCTAGACCCAGCTAAGAGAAAATTAATGATGTGTAGGTATGTTTCAAGGTTTTGTTATTTTTATTCAAACTAAAATTAACCACCACTGCAAATGGGAGAAAAATTATATCTAATAATGATGAAAAATTGATTCCAACCTCTTGACACATAAACACAGGCATGAGGATTATGGACGGAAACAAATCCGTATTCCAGGAGCAATCGATGGTTATCATGGTGGCCATAGCAGATGAATACCTCTTCGTGTTTTCTCCAACTTGAAGCAGATCTAAGTTCATAACAACGAGTTTCCTCATTAAATGCTGCTTTTACCTAGAAAGGAAAATTATTAAAGGTTTTTTTTAAAGTAAAGCATAAAACTACAAAGCTGATTAAGTTATTGTATTAATGTAAGTCAGGTGCAGCTTTCAAGTGCTCATCAATGAATTTACGTATGGGAGACATGCCACTTCTGTGACTCAGCTCGCTTCCTTCGCCTCAACTTCACCCCACTGGCGAGGGAGGGAGTCCTGCCCTGGGGTTCTGGGGATGGCGACACACACACACACACACACACACACACACACACACACACGACGCCAAACGCTGGACAGGTGACACCCACGGCAGTTTATCAGTCACATACACTCACAGCCTGTGGGAAGAAGACATGGCAGTGCCAGCCAGCTTCATCTGTAAAGATCCAGAGAGTAAATATTTTAGGCTTCGCCAGCCCCGTGTGGTCTCTGTTGCAAGCTGTTGTATTTTTACAATCCTTTAAAACTGTAAAAACCATTCCTAGCTCAGGGATCTCGGGCCACACGCCCACAGTGTGTAGTCTGTGGTCTCCTACAGCAGACTATAAGATCACTGGTTTGCACATAAATGCACCCAAAGCCCGAATAAAAATAAATTTTAAAAAAACATATCCCTGATACTATTTCATCAACACCAACCACTCATTGATGAGAAATACTCATCTAACCTCTGGCTCCTTTGCTCCAGATTGTTAAAAATATATCTTTCTACAAAAACTAACAAGCAGACAGGCCAGGTGATCGTCCCCGGCCTAAGAAAGCATAGCAGGACCTACATAAGCTCTCCTCTCCCTGACGCGGGCTGACAAGGCTTCATCACTCTTCTCACAGTGGCATGTCATGTGAAGGGGACAGCCATGACCCAGATCCCAGCCATGGGCCTCCACAGTGCCCCCCACACGGTTACAGGCGAGCTGACAGATGGACTCCCCTCTGCCCTCCAAGCCAGGCCTCCACCACAGCGTGTCCTGCAAATGCACATTTCCTACATGAGCCACCAGGAAAGGGCTGGGGAAGGGGGGCTGGGGAAGGGGAGATCTGTGACCCTCTCCCACGTCAGGATCCTTTCCCAGACTCCTTTCCCCATAAACATCCATCCATTCAGTAAACATTCACTCAACACCTGTTACGTGCCAGGCCCTGCCATGTGCACTGGGGTGACAAAGAGGAACAAGACAAAGTCCTCAGTCCCAAAGATTTCAGAGCTCGGTGGAGGAAGAAGCAAGTCAATCAGTGATCAAAGCAAAGATAAATGCTCTGGCAGCTATGCCACCAAGTTCAAAAGGGACAGGACAGGAAAAAAGAAAAGCATTGCAAGAGGGACAAGAGGTCAGAAGAAAGCCAGGAGCACACCTGAAGGCAGGTGGCCTTAACACAGGTTTACCTGAAGCCAGCCAGCTACATCTTTCCCTAGGGTTTTGCCCACCATCCAAAGTCACAGGTTCTACCTGTTGGAATCCTTGCTACCAAAACAGAACATGTGTTCCCTTGTCAGCTTCTCACCTGGACATTTGAGCTGTGATTTAGCAGATCCAGGTATGGAGCGAGAGCACAGGTGTCCGGCTCTGCAGAAAGGCATTCCTGCCGCCTGGGCCTCAGGTACACAGCCCTGGTGTTGACAGTGCACCAAGCCCACAGGAGGGCGCTGTAGCTGAAGATGCTGTCAACAGCCTCTGCAAACAGAGGCTGCAGGGAAGAGAAAAAGTCTCTGGCGGAAGCAAAGAACTCCTGCAGGCGGACTCTCTGTTCTTCAGCCTTTGCTTTTAAAGGTTTGGGAAGAAGATTCACCAGTTCCGGTTCCAAACAAACAGGGCAGGTGTAGGCCTTGGGTAAAATATCCAGGTATGGCTTCCAGGGAGACTGGTCCCCAGCATGCTTTTCTGAAACTAAAAAGGTGCACAGAGCCAGCAGAGGAGACGGAGGAGGCTTCCACCTTTTAAAATTAAAAGCCAGTGTAAAGGAATTACTTTTATTCAAAATATGAAATAAGCTAAGTGGTTTGTTCTGCTGCCAGAGGGAGTGTGCTCATCCTGTCAACACGCTCTAAGTTTACCCAATGGACCCAAGAGAGTTCTTCCCTTCCTTAAGGCTTTTCCTGTCCGGAGCACACCACCAATACAAGTGCTCTGAACAAGCCAAGTTCATGTGTCAGAAAAACTGACTCACCAACCCAAGTTCCAGGTTTGTTTACAAGAGATTCCTATATGCAGGAAACCTCTTTGCTTACAACTTGGTTCTCCAGTTTTAAAGCTTTTTGCCATAGTCCATTTGTTTCACCTGAATAAGGATATAAAATATGGTAGGGAGAAAAAACTGGTAGAAAGAACCTAGAACTGCACCATAGAATATAGTAACCACGGGTACATGGAGCTATTTAATTTTACATTTTAATATTTAGAATTAAATAATATGTAAAATACAATTCCTCAGTCAGACAAACCGCATTTCAAGTGTTCAATAGCCACTTGTGGCTACTGGCTACCACGTTAGACAACGCGGAGTAAAACATCTCTGTCACTGCCCAAAGTTCTGTTGCACAGCTCTACCCTAGACCAAAAACTGAATATGCTCACTATATAATTTTTATAGTTCTAAAGCTTTTTATTCCTAAATTTACCTGCTCTATTACAAATTACATATCATAGTATTTTATACGTTTTTCATAATTACCAATAAAAAGATCTCATGTTATATGAATATATATAGAAAACGTTTTCATTAATCCTTCCAAGTCCAGATTCTTACATTGCCATACATTCTACTCAAAATCTCAGAAGGATTCAGAAATACTAATGTTACTAATGTTACTAATACTAATGTTAAATACTAAGTGCATCCTTGCCTCTGCTCAGGCCTATAAAGATGCACTAGCCCTCTTCTGAAAACATGCCAGGGGGAAAAAAGTCCAGAACTTACCTTGGGTTAAGAAACAGTATAATCTTTCAACCTTCATAATTTCGAAATCCTTTCCACTGAGGATCTCACTCTCTCTCTGCCCTCAGATGTGCCCCAAACAAAGGCCCACCCTAAGATGAGCCAAAAGTCATTCTCAACCGCCTCTCTTCAACACCGAACTACAACTCTTTCATAATGTCAACAGCTCTTCATAATTAAAGAACTCAAGTAAGTAGAATGAGGGTAAAAATAAAAGAGAGAGTAACATTTGTCAAGACCTACTAGTATAGAGAACAGGCTACTATGAGTCAAGGCACTCAGCTGAGATTTATATATATTATCCTATGTAATCTTCATTTTTCAGAAAGTGATACAGATCAGGATTCACACCTAAAACCCAGGCAGCCTATCAAAAACCTTAAATATGCTGTTTAAAATGAATTAAGAACAAACTTCCTGGAACAGAGTAAACCCTTCAAATCATTTCAGGTATCTATTAGCTATATGAAGGGGCTGGGTTGTAATGAACTATGCCTTAGATGATATATTTCCCAATGACAGACACTTTTAAGGAGAAGCATTGTACCAGGTAAGCATGTGTGTGGTCACTTACTTACTTAGTAATGTACGCCCCTAAGTAGCTTTGAATCACCGTGTCCGTGGTAAGCAGGCAGCTCTCAGGCAGTGAAATAATCATCTGGCCCTCCTTGCCAAAAAGAAAGTAAAGTTTAGGACACTCATGCTTTGGGAAGGACCAGTTAGTATGAATCTTGCAGATCATCGACCCCACAATCACTTACCAAGAACCCACTACAGTCCAACCACAAGCCACCAGTGAGCCCACCAACAGACTCGTTCCAACTCTCTGAGTCTGCAGACACGGACAAGGCAGCTCCGATGCCAGGCACCACGGCCCCAGCAAGAATTGAAGGTTAGTTATGTGACTGACACCCACCATCAGTCAACCTCTCACCAGAAAACAATGTGAAAACACTTTGACAACTCAAATCATATTGTTCCTTCATTTTATTTGCCAGGAAATGTGCTAACAATTGGAAACAGACAGAAACCACCCCAAATCTATCCAGTGAAATCTGAGTGACCAGCAATGGTCTGCCCTCTACATAACCTGTGCCAACTAGATAAGCAAAGGGCAGCCTACCCCGCACAACCAGGATCTAATTCCACCATTTGCAAAAGTGTAACTTTCAGTTTCTCCCACTGAGCTAGAACCATAGAAAGAAAAATCAAGATGTAAAGTAACAGACACCAGAAAGAAAGAAAGCACCAAGAAGCCAGATATAAGATCCTGCTTTCATTTTTAACTGGCATCTGCATTGGTTAAAAATCCTCAGCCAGAAACCTGCCAGGATCAATTTCTGGTTTCCTCATCCATAACACAAGATCAAGCTGGGTGATCACTACTGGTCCTTCCTGTTCAGGCATCCTATGACTTTCTGATTTAAAAAAAAAAATTGGGGTATATTTCTTTATTATCAATATGCAACCTGTATATTTAAGATCTGTGTATTTCACTATACATAAAATATGTCTCAATTCTCAAAAATTTTAATGAAATAGCCACACTTGAATGTGCATGTGAAGCGACTGCTATTATCATTCCATGATCTAAACAAAACTACCTGTAGTTACTGCTGCATACATGAGAGATGTATTTCTCCTCCCTAAATCCATTACAGAATAAAGTCATCACACCTTTCCCAAAAAATAAAAATAAAATATTGCACAATAATATGAATGTACTTAAACTACTAAACTGAATACTTAAAAATGGTTAAGATGGTAGATTTTATGTTACAAGTATATTTTACCACAATTAAAAATTTTAAAATAATAAAAACAGCATATTAGAATACAATATTAAAAGGTACTATTCTTTAGGCTAAACACATGTACATAGCTGAGTTTAAAATAAATTCAAAAATTAAGCCTCAGCAAGAACAAGAACTCAACTCTACAAAAAAAAAAAAAATACAAAAATTAGCCGGGCATGGTGGCGCATGCCTGTATTCCCAGCTACTCGGGAGGCTGAGGCAGGAGAATTGCTTGAGTCCAGGAGTTTGAGATTGCTGTGAGCTATGATGATGCCACTGGACCCTAGTCTAGGCGACAGAGCGAGACCCTATCTCAAAAAAATTAATTAATTGAGATAATTTTAAAATAAAGGAAGGAATTAACTTCTAGCTTTACCAAAAATTGTACATTAGGAAAAAAACACAAAAATTATACATTAGATATCCTTTAAAACAGCACAAAAAAGAATTAAAAGGGACCTTGGAGATCATCTATATCGTTTACCTCCTCATTTGATAGGTGAGGAAACAGAAGCCAAGAGGATGAGGAATCTCACTCTGGGTCACACAGGCACTGAAGGCAACCCTGGGACAGGCTCCGAGGCCACCTCCCACACTTGCTAGGGTTCTACCTGCCACACTACGCACAGCCTCTCTCTCAGATGACAGCAGCTCCCCTGGCACACTTAAAATATGATGCGATTTCTAAAACGTACTGTGGCAGAGACGACTAGTTGCCTACCCCAACATGCCCCCTCCCCCCTCCTCACTAACGGAATCCTATTTGGAGGGCACAGCGCCAGGGAAAGGCCAGCACGGCTCCCCTCCCTTGCAGCTGGCTGGGGCCATGTACCCGTTTGCTGGCCAAGGAGATGGGGGCCGGAATTAAAAGGAGAAAGCCTACTCTTCCTTACCCCCTCTCCCTCCACTGTTCGTGCTCCAAGAGGCACAGCCCAATCTGAGGGTGTGGGCTCCCTTAAGGCCATGACAGAGAGCTGGAAGGAGTGGGGGCCTCTGACGGCCATGGGACTGCGCCACCAGCCCAGGTCTGCCTTCTCCAGGTTTGTTTATATGACAGCAAAATAAACTTCCGTGCTGCTTAAGCACTGCAACTTTGGGCTTGTCTCTCGTACGCAGCAAACTTTACTCTAGTCGACAGAACTATATTCAAACATATCCATTAGCTAAGTAAGAAATGCCTGAATGTTTCCAATATTTTTCATTAACTTGACTTGAACCACACAAAGCAGTACAATCTACTTTGGGTTTCAAGAATAAAAGAGAAGTTCTCACCTGCAGGGATGTTTTGCTCATCAGCCCTCTTCCTGTGCCTAAGAAAGCAAAGATGGAAAAAGGGTAAATTCTATAATTCCTTCAAGGACCTAGAGATACCATTTTGGTGTTTTGTTTTGTTTTGTTTCTCTTAATCTTACACTACTTTGAGTATTTTAATACCAAATACAAAAAAAAAAAAAAGCCTTCAAATGTTACATGTCGGCCCCAACATAGTTTATTCCTGGATTATATACAGCAGCAAGGTCACCCCACAGCACCTACCACACACAGCACCAAGGCTTCCACACATGCAGAATTCAAGGAACATGGACTGTTCTACTTCCTCTCCAGATGATCATCAAAGACTTACAAGTCTGTTTTTGCCTTTTCCCCAAACTTATGCCCAGATCATCTTCCCAAATTCTAAGTTTCAAAAAAACCCTACTCACAGATCGCTTCAACATTCATCTGATACTAATACCATTCTTCCTGTAAGGGACATTTCCCTAGGGTGGGTCACCCCTCTCCAGAAAGGGCTCATGCATTTCCTATCGCTCAGGAAAGGTGGGTGGGGCGGGAAAAGAAGAAAGCAAAACACCCCTCAGAAGGGTCCAAGTGAGGCAGCTTTGGGGCCCCAGAGGCGGGAAGGACGTGCTACACCCCATTTCTGTGGGCGCAAACCACAGCCCCACGCCTGAAAGATCCATGCCGCCACCTACCTGCCCAAGTCTCGAGTGCAAGACCTGTGGGCAGGGACCAGGGCAGTGAGGACACAGAAGGCAGGGCCGGGCTACCCAGGCAGCAGGAATCGCTTCACCCACCCGCGAGTGGCGCCCATACTCTCCACGCCCATGGCTGCCACCTCAAGATCCCATTTTGAATACAAAGTGTGAATGAACTTCAAAATAACACATAGCTGAAGCTGGGTTTCTCTCAGTCTTTGATTCCCACAGGAAACCAAGAGGTCAGGAAACATTCTGAAAATGTCCTGACCTCCTGTGGGTTTAAAATAATTGAAGGGGAAAGTCAGCTTCGGGGGTTGAGACCTAGAGACCACCATGTACATTACACAGATCTGGCGCTGGATCTCCCCAGGATCATACTGTCTGCTAATACACACAGTTCCAGTCTTAATAACTTATTTTATTTATTTTGCATATCTCATTGTGAAGTTAATCATCATTGTGGACCAAAATCCCTCCCAGAACCAATTATTAAAGGGAGGACTTTTTTCTATGTCGTCAACCTTCAAAAGACCTGTTAATCTAAGTGGAAATTTCTCTCCAAACATATGTATGAATGGAAACTGGCATAAGGAATAAATCTGGAAGACACTTTGCCTATATTTTTTTTTTTTTTTTTTTTTTTTTTGAGACAGAGTCTCACTCTGTTGCCCCAGCTAGAGTGCCATGGCGTCAGCCTAGCTCACAGCAACCTCAAACTCCTGAGCTCAAGCAATCCTCCTGCCTCCGCCTCCTGAGTAGCTGAGACTAAAGGCATGCGCCACCATGCCTAGCTAATTTTTTCTATATATTTTTTTTAGTTGGCCAATTAATTTCTTTCTATTTTTACTCTTGTTCAGGTTGGTCTCGAACTCCTGAGCTCAAACGATCCTCCCACCTCGGCCTCCCAGAGTGCTAGGATTTTGTGCATAAGCAATTGTGCCCAGCCCTTGCCTATATTTCTACAATGTATAGTGTTCAATATCAAAAAACATATCATACTAATCTGCATTTATTATCATATTTATGCTGAAGATACTAGGCAAGGGAGAAGTGGCCATTAAGAGCTCATAAAAGTAAGGCTTATTACCAACATATCAAAGGCTTCAAACTTCTGCGGTCACAAATCCCCCTGGGAGGCCCAAACCTGGCTAGTGCTCTTGGTGGTGAATGAGACGCTAGGGTCAGTTCCCAAGACATAAATCAGGTGAGAGCCTAAAGACAGAATCCTGCTTGTATCGTAGGAGCCTTCCCTTGTCCTTCTACAAACTAAGATTAATCCCCCAAAATTTTGTACTGAATTTTGTACAAAATTTTGTATTGAAATTTGTACAAAATTTTGACTGAATCCCCCAAATGTTCCCTCCTATCATACACTAAGAGCTAAAGCACTTACAGAAGGTTCCTTGTACCCAGAACTGTATAAGCTGTGGGTTCAGATCACTGCCAAACCATTTTGCTTTAGCACCTCCATGGCCCTAAATCTGAGACTGGGGCCAAGGAAAGTTGTTCCCACTTTTATAATTAGGAGATCTTTACTGCTCCAAATTGTACACACATTACTTACTTTCAGGTATTCCATCTAAACCATTTGCCAAATCCTGCTTGATGATTTTAAACCTATCATTCTTAGAGCATGGTGGCACTCAAGAAGCAGGCAGGCCTTAGGCACAGCAAGTTCACTCCTGACACTATTTTCTCTTGGTTATCCGGTAAGGAACTCCATATAGTATCATCTAAGAGCGTGGCTTTTACTGGACCATCTTTGACACACAAAAACAGAAAGTTAAACACTCTGCTAGAGGCTGACAATTATGGTTCACAATCATAAACTAGGAGAGGCCTTAACAGAAATAGCTCAAATTAAGCATTTTAGTCCAAAGTCATCATGTGCAACTGATTCATGGGGAACAACTTTACACACATCACCTCACTTGGCCAGGAGTACACATGAGGAAATTATCCATCCTAGGGGAAATACAAGGAAGTTAATTTACTTGGTCATAATTTTAATGACCAAGAGGATTCAGTGGCATATGCTTTAAATTTTCCATAAGGTAAAATGTCTGCAGCCTGCCATGTAATGCAGAACTTCAGGACCCAAACTGCATACCATCTCTGTGCTACAGCAGGCCCCAAATCCTTTTGAAGAGCACCTCTGTCCTCCCTGTGGAGTGGAGTGGCCTTGTATGCAGGCACACACCCACAGCAAGCTGCCCAACTTCCATAAAAAAATGTTCCAGAAGAAAATGTTATCCAACCTCCAAAATAAGCTCTTTAATTTCCAGAACAAAATGTTAATCTACCCCAGCTCAGGTGACTGTTGAAGCCTATAGCTCTGCAATTAACTGGCCACACAGAGGGCCCCTCCTCCAAGACTTGGGGTGCACAGCCACAAACAGCTGAGGAGACAATATTTGCTGAGGCCTCCCTAAGGGTTCTTCTCCACGAGCCACACCACCAGAGAACAATCACCTCACTGGTTGGTTGGAACCACTCTCCCCCTTAGAAAACTAGTATTTTTATTCACTGGAGCCATGGGGTAATCTCATTAGCCTGGAAAGATGGAAAAATTCCATGAAACCACCATAGGAATAATGTTGAGTCACCATATTACACAAATGTCTTTCTTATGAGGACCCAGAGAAGGCACTTCCCACAGGTCTAAGTTCCAGGAGCACCTGCATTTCTACTGAGTAGACAACTCAATTTTGTTTACAGAACACTGAGACTCAGGTCATTGATCATACCAATTATATGAGCCGCTGAAAAGACTAAGTTTGTAGCTCACCTCTGATGAGTGCATAAGATTTTATAACCATGTCTTTTATGTGTTATCCTTGTTCTTGGCTTCATCATATTTTTCTATTCTCATTCTTTTTTAATTTTTAATTTTATTTCATCATCTTGTCATTTCTCTCCCCAAGCCGCTTTCATTTATTTTTACAAGGTGAAGTACAAGCAAACTGTATAACTATGAGGCAGGAAGCTGAACACACGGCAATAGATGTGTTCCCGGAGAATGCAGCCCACCTGCAAGAATCACCCCTGCTCTCCACACGGCTCTCATATGAGAAAGGTCAGAGAGCTGAATGCCAGATCTTACCTGGAAAACAAGCAGGCGTTAAGTTTGTATCTTCAAACTTCCTATCTTTCAGCCACTTCTTTAGCTCTATAAATTCATACTTATAGCTCTCGGACACTAATCAGGTGAGAAGAGAACAAATGGTGATAATAAATCACTGTATAATCAGATCGCCATTTTTAAAAAAATATCTCTGATAAAGTGTACCAGAGAGACATATATAATGATAAGTATTTATGTATCTAAACATATCCAAACATAGAAAAGATACAGTAAAAATATGGTATTAGAATCTTATAGGATCACTGTTGTATATGTGGTCCATCAACCAAAAACATCATTATGTAGTACATGACTGTATTAATTCAATGCAATTCTCATCTAAATTCAAGCAGGCTGTTTTATAGGAGTTAACAAGCTAATTCTAAAATTCATATGGAAATGCAAAAGACCTAGAATAGCCAAAATATCTTTGAAATGCTGATCTTTAAAACATAAAGCTAGAATAATCAAATTAGTGTGATATTGTCATCAAGATCGGCAAATTGGTCATTGAAACAGGATAGAAAAATCAAAAGAGACCCACATATGTATGATTTTTGACTAAGTGCAAAAATCTTTTCTCAGTGGAAAAAAGATAGCATTTTGAATAAATGATGCTTGAACAATTGGCTCTCGATAAGCAAAAAAAAAAACAGTACTCATATCTTGTACTGTGTACAATTACATTTATGTAGCGTTTTCCAGGTAACTGCCAAGCACTTTCACATCCAGTATCTCCTTTAGAATGGGTTACTCTGAATTTGAAGTGATAAATTTATATTCAAACATTGATATCCTACAGATAGCTCCAGGTCAAGACCAGAAAAAGAAACCTGGGAGTTATCCCCAAAGAAGACAGTTGAAGTAATGAGTTAAATATGTTTACATTCCCACCAGGATTTAAAAGAATACAATGGCACTATTAAAAATATTGTTCTTGGCCAGGTGTGGTGACTCATGCCTGTAATCCTAGCACTCTGGGAGGCCAAGGTGGGCAGATTGCTCAAGGTCAGGAGTTCGAAACCAGTCTGAGCAAGAGCGAGACCCTGTCTCTACTAAAAATAGAAAGAAATTAATTGGCCAACTAAAAATATATATAGAAAAAATTAGCCAGGCATGGGGGCACATGCCTGTAGTCCCAGCTACTCGGGAGGCTCAGGCAGGAGGATTGCTTGAGCCCAGGAGTTTGAGGTTGCTGTGAACTAGGCTGATGCCAAAGCACTCTAGCCCAGGCAACAGAGTAAGGCTCTGTCCCAAAAAAAAAAAAAAATATATATATATATATATATATATTGTTCTTTAAGAAATATTCTCTTTGAGAAAATCTATATGTATGAACACACACTAATCAACAAAGAATTTATTTTTTCATCACTGACACTAAAAGAAACAAAACTGTACCTCCTCTTGATTCAGAACTTCTGAAGAGTTTTCGTTTTCTGATCCGGCTTGTTCTTCCTCTTCTCTTATGCATACTCAAACTCTAGTTTCTGTGTAGGTACCCAACCTAAAATAAAAAGCATTTCTTTGCCTTAATTTCCAGTTGTATGATAATCATCGTTCCTTGTACTTTTAAAATATGCAAATGTATATTTTGATAAATCATTTTCCTAAAGTATTTTTTTACAGGAAAGGATTTTTTTTTTCAGGGCAAAAAAAAGCCTTTTATTTCCCCCACATTCCAGCTCTTCACTTTTTGTAACATTTCTTCCAACACAGAAACAAAGACCAAGAAGTAGATTCAAACTTGAGAACAAGGCAGGAAGTAGGCCAGTGCCTTCAGAGCCGGGTTCTAGACCAGTGGGACTCCCGACATGGGTGGAAGCACAAAGCAGTGACACAGCAGAGAAGGCCACAGAAGAGAAGCAGGAAGTTAGCCCAAGACCAGTAGCCTGGACCCACACAGAGCCAGTTCCTCCGAGGTGAGCAGCTTGGTGAGCACGAGGCCTTTGTGGCTCCAGACCCTGACATAATCCTCACCCATCTTAGGGCTTAGGGTGGCATTTCCTGCTCCTTCCTCTGAACAGGATATGGGTGGCTGGCTAGAGGGCAGAATTCCTGGAACAGCACTAAAATACAGCAGATTCCTGGGGTCTTTTCACTGGTCACCCTGGCTGTGATGAGGACCTGCTGTCCTGCAGAAGATCCTTTCAATCCCATCTGACCACCCAGGATCTTGGTTTGGAATGTCTGTGTCTTGTTCCTGTCTGGACCTTCTGCGAAGTTCAAGGTGGTCAGTAAGCCCACGACGTGAGACCCTTGCCACTTTCCTGTGACTATCCCATTCACAGGGCACAGGGTCAGCTGGCCAAAAAAATCTCAAGAAAGAGACCCAGTCCTGAGGGATGTCAGGGCTGCACAGGCCAGTCCTGTGGGTGTGGAGGAAGCTGCCAAGGCCCAGGCCGGAGAGGCCAAGCAGCAGCAGGATCAAGGTGGCACAGATCAGAGGTGGGTGGTGGGCCAGACACAGATGCAGATTGTGCCCCACCTGGCAGTCACCCATGAGGAAGAGAGGTGTCTGGGCCTCCACAGAGAGCCTGTTGGAGGACAGGGACGGAGAACTGGACAAGAGCCTGCTGGTGAGAAGGCACTCACCAATTTTATGGAAAGGGAAGCTAAAGCTCTGAGAAGATAAGGGACTTGCCCAAGGCCACACAGTTAGTGGCAGAACCAGGACAAGAATCTAGGCCTCTTGACTCCAACAGTTCATCTCCCTGCATCATTCAATAAATGTTTGCTGCATTTCATTTCTGAACTAATCAAAGCAGAAGCAGAGCAGAGCTCTCTATGATGGAAAAAGGAACCCAAAAAAGTAGAATTCTTAGCTGGAGAAATAGGAAGCTGCTGTTCTGGGGCTAGGTAATTAGCTGAAGAACAGTTCCAGCCAGAGCCCACACAGTGTCTGCTGAAGAACTCAGCTTCAGAGCTAAACGGCTAGGTCTGAATCCCTCTCTGCTACTCACTGGCTATGTAAAACCAAGTCAGGCAACCTCTCTGTGAGCTTAAGAACCTGTGAAATGGGAGTTCTAAGAACACCAAGTAATAAGGATTAAATGTGGCAGATAAAGCAGTCTGCATGGTACTCGGTGGTGCAGGAACTCAACATATATCCCATTTCCTTTCTCCTTCTCTGTGTTACAGGAAAGGTTTATGCTGTGAGCTAAGGCATGATCCCTGCACAAATGGAATGCCCATTATATTGGTCCCTCTAAAACAGTTTTATCTTGAGGGCCTACTGAATACCGATTAATCATGGAAATCTTCATCACTAATTTCATAAACATGTACTTTGGTCACTTACACATCTCAATCCTAATCAATATTCACTAAAGCACCAATTTAAATTAACTATACTTAGAATAAACAGTAGCCACAAAGCCCCCATCAGCTAGGAAGTCTTAGAGAAAAAAAACACCTTTCAGTGTGAAATAAACAGTGCTTTGTTCTTAGATACCAGGATCCTGAAATAAACACAGTATACTGTAATTAAATAGGCATTTGCAAATGATTAGGGAGAGAATGAAAGCCAAAAAACATCTAAGAGATGATGATCATCAGACCTAAAATAGCTACTAAAGTTTCTATATGCTACTTCTTTGGAAGCAAAAAAAAAAAATGAAATCCATTAAACACACCAGCTTGAGCATTATACAGGCAATGGAGTGGGACCATTAATAGGAATAATAGGAATTAATGCAGACATTAATAGGAAGACATGTGCTAAGGTGTAAAAATATCCAAGACATATTAAGCGAAAAAAATAAAGTTGCAGAACATTATAAATTAAATGATCCCTTTTGAGTTTGCTTTTGAGCATATTATATATGTTTACAAACCTGGAGGATTTAAGGAAGGATAATCAAAAACATGCTAGGGCAATGGAATACTACTGAGCCATAAAAAGAATGAAATGTCATCGTTTGCAGCAGCACTGGATGGTACCAGAGGTCAATCAATGTGTTAAGTAAAAAAAGCCAGGCACAGAAGGACAAATATCACATGTTCTCACTCTTACGTGGATGCTAAAAAAGTTGATCTCATGGAGGTAGAGAACAGAATACCAGAGGCTGAAAAGGTGGTTGGATGGGGGGAGATAAAGAGAGGTGGGTTGATGGCTGCAAACATAGTTAGAAGGAATAAATTCTATGGTTCCATAGCAAAGTAAGGTGATTATAGTTAATGTATATTTCAAAAATAGTTGGAAAAGAGGACTTGAAATGTTCCCAACACATAGAAATGATAAATATTCAAGGTGACGTATGGCCCTATATCTTGACTTGATCATTACAGTCTATGCTGGTAACAAATTATCACACCTACTCACACAAATATGTTCAAATACTGGCATCAATTTTAAAAAGTGCTAAGGGAAGGGGGCTTTTACTATTACCTTTGCATCCCCCTACACTGTGACTTATAATGTATGAGTATATAGGTGACATATTATGAACATTAAATGAATATATGTGCATTTTAACAACGTAACTAGTTTTAAAATCTACTCCTAAAAAATACACCAAGGCAGAAATGAGTAAGACACAAAAACTCCAGGTAGAATGAATGCTCCACTTCAGCAGTGGAAGGTTCCTTGCTTGATCTACCCAAAGGTGGCGAGTCTGGTTCCATAGTCCAGCGCGGCGTGTCCCCTCCCGGCGCCCAGCACTCTGTCCGCACAGAGCCGGAAGCCCCCACCGTGACCCCCGGCCCCGCGCGGGAGCTTCCCACCAGCGCTCTGGTGACTGTCACGTGGAAACCGGATGACAGCCACAGCTAAGGGGCACCATCCACCCCGGGACTTGGGCTATTTCGCCTCTCCCCGGACGCCTGAGCAATATTTGCTAAACGGACGATCTCCTAACTACGGGAAATTACTGTAGTGCACAGAATAATGCCAGACCTGGTGGGGGACTGCAAGACGAACTCAGTTCTCCTTTTTATACAGATGAATAAAAAACTAAGGAAATCTACAGCACAAACTCCGCTCCCGTTACCGGGGCAACAAAGGCCCCGACCCGGAAGTACTCCGGACTCACCTCGATTCCACTGCCCCCTCCAAGATGGAGGCGGCAGTAGAAGGGCCCAAGGCACGTAGAAACCCTGAGACTCTGCCCCAGACGAATGCGAGTTTAAGAAGTGGGCCGAAGGTGCACAGGGAGAAGCTAAGCGCCGTCAGGCCCACCTCGAGTCCTTAAGCAACCCAAGTCTCCAGTCACCTGGGCGAGCCTCCGGTATTTCTGCCGCGGGTCGCTTCCTCCCAGCACGCACATGCGCAGTGTGCGCGGACTCACTGCCTACACCAAATCCCGCTGAAGGCGAGGTTCTCCCTACATCAGCCACCCTGCTCTAGGGCCAAAAGAAGCTAGTGGCCCGCGGGCAGGCTACCTATTCTCTAAAGATCCGGCTTCTGGAGTCTTTCCTTAGGAAGTTGGTAAGAGTAAGACCAACCACCTCGGGCGCCTGACCCTGACCCTGGCGGGCCAGAGGACGGCGCCTCGCTCCGCCCTCCGGCCTAGCCTCTCTGGTGGCCCCACACGCACCAGGCAGGCTCTACCCCGTCCTGCCCCTCTGTCGACATCTTCGCCCTATTTCACCCTTTCTGGCCTTGCCCAGGACCCGCCTTATAAGAGAATTCAGATTCATGTAAATACGTGTTCCGGGAGAGGGAGCTCAATTTCTGCCTCACCCCCACCTTGATTATGGGCTAGTGACTTGATTCCCAAGACTACATTATGGAGAAGGAGTGGGAAGTAACTTTACAGTGGAGAAACCTGGTATATGCTATCTTGGCTGAGTGCTCAAGGGTAATATCAGAAATAAACATGATGATAGCATGTCCCTGTGGTATTCCTACCCAGAACCCCAGTTCTTCCATTAAAAAAAAATCAGGCAAACTCCAAAACACCTGACCAGTACACCTAAAACATTTTCTATCAGTGAAAAATAAGCACAGTCGTCTCTTGGTATACGCAGGGGATTGGTTCCAGGCCACCACTACCCCCATACTAAAATCTATGGATGCTTCAGTCCCTTATATAAAATGGTGCCAACCTAAGTGGCAGAGAGGCTCTCTAAAAATATTTATTTGGGAGTAGCATTGCAATGGAAATACAAGTGCCATAGTGAATTATGTGTGTGTTCAGGGAGGCTGAGGCAAGGGGAAGTTTCTAAAGGCAAAATAGGATTACAAAAATTGCTTGGAATCAATTATCCTTGGCTACATGGATCAATAACCAGGATAATGCCAGCCCAAGGTTGAGCAGACGGTTGCTGGACAGATAGTGCTGCAGAAGTATTTTCTGTGGCCTTCATGCAAGGTTGTGGTTTTTGCAATCTTAAGTGATCCTTCTTGTTATCAGGGATACATGAATGAGAACCCTCCCTTCATGGCCTTCCCTGGCTCTTTTTGTCAGGGTTATAACACGAATACTTCATTTTGATTTTGATAACTTTCACAATGGTATAGTATTTTCATATAATATATGCACATACTCCCGAATACTTTAAATCATCTCTAGTTTATTTACAACAACTAATACAATGTAAATGGGTGTTGTATAGTTTTTCTTATTTGTATTTGTTTATTGTTATATTGTTATTTTTTATTTTGTTTTTCTGAATATTTGCAATTGTTGGTCAGTTGAATCCCCACATGCAGAACCCAAAGATGTGGAGGGTCAAGTGTAAACCCTGACAAGCTATCCTAAATCAGAGGAAACTAGAGTCATGACAACTAAATGTAATATAGTATTCTGGAGGAGATCCTGGAATAGAAAAGGATATTTAGGGGAAAACTAGTGGAATCTGAATAAAGTGTGGAGCTTAATAAGAGTGTTCCAGTATTGGTTTTTAGTTAGACGATGTTCCATAGTAGAAAGATGTTAATAAGAGAATCTGGGTGAGAGGTATACAGGAAATTCTCTGTAGTGTATTTGTAACTTTTCAGTAAATCCAACTATTCTAAAATTAAAAGGTTTAAAAAAAAAAAGGAGTGGAGGGTGCTGGACATAGATGGTTATAGATTGATAATTGTTAAAGATAAACTTTGGCACTTTAAAATTTTAAAGCTTTATTTGAGCACACAGATTCATGAATCAGGCAGCTCTATACTGTAAGTGCTTCAGGTCTCCTCCAAAGGGGCATAAACAGAAGGATTTTATAGTGTGAATGCAGAAGTAAAGCAAAGAAATTCTTGCTTGGTTAAAGTTAGAAACATTGCCATATTTGAACTGTTCCTAGGAGAAGTTCAAGACAAGGTAAGTAACACACAGTTAACTACCTGTGATTGGCTGAGCTTCAGCTTCATTTTCTTTTAAATTCTGAGCTAGGTTTTGCTTTGCTTAGGTTGGAACCCACAGCATTAGAGTTACCTCCTGTTTGTTTTAACAGATGCATGATTCAGTGATGTCATCAAAGATTAACACTCTGACTTTCCACCTTATCATCCTTAAGGATTTGGCTGTTTACCTTTTTGTTTGTTTCTTCATAACCTCAAGACAATTGTTGCTGCTCCAGGCATCACATTCTCCTACAACTGCATTCAAGATAGGAAGAAGAGGGGTAGAAGAAATGGAGACTTTCCTTTTATGAAGGAGGAAAGTACTGCATACTCCCATTTTCTACGTGAGAATTGAGAACGATTCTCTCCTTTACCAGTGAATTCTAGCCAGACTCCTCTGAGCAAAAGCTTGTCCCACAAAAACTACAGACTCTTAGCACATATGATATCATCCACCCCTGTTGCCCCACATTAAAAGACTTAAACATTGATATAGTTTCTAACAGCTCAAGGCTACATACCTAGAATGACCCTGCCCCCCTAAAGGACCTTCCTCAGAATGTTCAAGGCTACCATAAAAAAATTTGTTTGTTCTAGCCAACATCTGATAATAAGGCTCTGATCACCCTTTCCTAAAGCATTTACTAAAAAGAGCTTACAGTTGTGAATTCTTTCTTTGTCCCTGTGGGATCTCCATGTATCTGTCACAATTTAGGAGTAGTCTTCTCAGGACCTGAAAGGCATTCCTCTGAAATGGAATCAGCAGAAATGTTAGGGCCTCTGCCTTGCATTCTTTATAGTGGGAAGATAGAATCCTAACTTGCTGGCTGCCAGCTAACAGACACAGCTGCCTGATCAGCATCCACACTGACCAACCGTGCTGTCATTTTTTATTTCCCTCACTCTGCTCAACCCCCACTGTTCCCCTTCCTGAGCTTTCATTCTAACTTTAAAATGCATAGTCAACCTTGTACAAGTGAGAGTTGAGTTTCCTTCATGCTGGACCCTCTTCCTATTACACTAGCACATTATTGATTAAAATCTGTCCTTACCTGCTGGGCAAGGTGGCTCACGCCTGTAATCCTAGCACTCTGGGAGGCCGAGGCAGGAGGATCACTCAAGGTCAGGAGTTCGAAACCAACCTGAGCAAAGAGCAAGACCCCATCTCTACTAAAAAATAGAAAGAAATTAAACGGACAACTAAAAATATATAGAAAAAATTAGCCGCGCATGGTGGCGCATGCCTGTAGTCCCAGGTACTTGGGAGGCTGAAGCAGAAGGATTGCTTGAGCCCAGGAGTTTGAGGTTGCTGTGAGCTAGGCTGATGACACACAGCACTCTAACCCAGGCAACAGAGTGAGACTCTGCCAAAAAAAAAAATCTGTCCTTACCACTTTAGTGCCTGGCTTAATCTTCAACAGAATTAATTAAATTTGCTTGAGTTACATTAGCACTAAGCAGCTGAACTACAGTTGGTTCCAGGACTCAGAGTCCATGGTGTACTTTAGGAAGGCTTATTGAACATCCTAAATAAGGCTCAAATAGAAGAAAAGCAAGTGTCAAGTAGAGTTCTGTGAGCGTAGATAATTATGGACAAGGAAACACCCTGAGAGCTTAATAATTCATAATTTGACAATATTGTATTCCAACATCTTTTAATAGATACCATGGAACCATGCATGTACTTTGGGAAAAATAAAATAATTGCCTTAAACCAGTGGATAGTAAAGATGTGAATTTATTCTACAAGTCAATAGATACAATAAAATCCTTTATCCATGTAGCAACCAATATGGTCTCAGACCTTTGTCACAACCAAGGCATGCCTTCCAACTAAGCCATCAGCAGTAATAACAGATTTAGGACCTCCATCCTCACTCTTTTATTTCTCAAATTGTTCAGAATGCAGACAAGATGCTATGTATGGGTCACCAGTCAAGCACACCATCAGAATAAAGACCCAAATGTCACAGAGGAAAAAAATGCAAAGCATTCATGTATAGCCTAATTCAAAGGCTTTAAATTATCATGCTTTTCAAAAATAAATTTTCAAAAAGTTGTCCATGGTAAAACCTGTCAGTTTTTCCTTGATAATTTTGCCCCTGTTCTTATGCTTATAAAGTCCTTTAACTCTACAGAAAATGTAAATTTTACTTATATTATCTCATAGTTCATGGTTTCAGTTATAAGTCACTTTTTTCTCTCTCTTTATAAATTTCTTAGTGTACATTCTAAGGTTTTTTGTTTTTCCAATCATCCTGCCCTTTCCCCAATACACATTTTGAATAATTATTTTCCCTATTAATTATTGTCACCTTTATTATATACTAAATTTTTATTAGCACATGATATTTGTATATTGTATTTTCTGGACATCTGTCAATTCTTATGTTGGTACCGGTACTAAAATTATAAACAAATCAAACTGAAAATCAGGCCTTTTGAAACTGCAGGAACCTCACTGTGTCCAAAATTGCCTGCACACCATGTGCTATCACTGAGTGGCTCTCTTACTGAATATGATACATCACACTTCCTTCTGACACTGGTTCAGGCCAGCTGCAGACCTTTGACTGTCACAACTAAGAAAAATGTGGATGTGGAGAGAGGCCAACCAATGATAGACCAAACACACTGGGATAAGACAGAAAATCCAAAATGGATCTCTTAATTATCCTGAGTGCAAAAAAAGGAAAAATGTATATACTGTGTGACTCCATCTATGTAACATTTTTGAAATAACAAACATTTCTACACTTATCTGTAGAAATGGTGAACAGAGCAGTGGTTGACAGGAGACAGAGTTGGGTTGAGGAGCAAGAAATAGGTATATATGTAGTGATGAAAGAGCAACAGGAGGGATCCTTCAGTTGATGGAAATGTTCTTTTGTCTGTAATGGTGGAAACACAAACCTATACGTGATAAAATTATATAGAACAAATACACATACAAACAAGTACAAGTAAAACTGGGGAAATTTGAAGATGATTGGTGGACTGTATTCTTGTCGATATCCTTCTTGTGATACTGTACTTTTTGCAAATGTTCCTGTTCAGAGAAACTGGATAAAGTCTATGGAATCTCTGTACCATTTCTTACAAGTGTAAGTGAACATGTAAGTGAACAATAATCTCAATAAAAATTTCAGTTAAAAATTAGCAAGAGTCTTTCCCTGATTATCAACTTTTTTAAAGTAATTGATTGGAAACCTATCTTGAAATTACACCATAATTAGAAATAATGTAAAGCAGCGCTGTCCATAAGCACTCCCTGCAATGCTGGCAGTATCCTCTATCTCCAAGCCCAATACAGTGACGGCTAACACATGTAAACGTTGAGCACCTTAAATGTTGCTAGTGCAACTATTCAATTTTTAATTATTGTGATTAATTTAAGTTTTCATATAAATGACCACTTGGGACTGCTGCCATCCTATGGGACACCAAAGAAATGAAACTTGACTTTGTAGTCTTCTAATCCCTTGTTCTAAGTACTAAGGAAGAAAACTCATTTCCCACCACTCAACTAATTTATAGATTGAGACTGGATCCATTTCTTCATTTTTAAAAAGCGGACAAGTAGATAAGTAGGTACATCCTGACATGTTAAGTGTAAAATGGGCTGTGAAGCTCCCTGACACCTGTACACTGCAAGACCCTGACAAAGAAGTCCCTGACACCTGTACACTGCAAGACCCTGACAAAGGTAAGTCTATGGCCCCTACAAGGATCCAGAGAGATAACCCTGTGATGACTTAGTAAACTTTGTTTCCTACGTTGTTGGAAAACCTGGCCAAGGATAAGCCAGCAGCTTTGCTTTCAGATACTAATGGGAGAAATCAACCTGTCATTTTCTTCCAGATTCTTCCACAACTTTACTTCCAAAGACTTCAGTTCCAACCATATATTTTTTAGACCAACAGAAAAAGTGTCCATACAAATGCCCCATTTCTTTAAGCACAACAGTGATGGTTGAATAGTTGCAGGAACACAAAGAAAAACCATTAGAGAACCAGAGAAGCAGGGATAAGGGGTGAGTCGACACCTAGACAAGTGATCAATAGGAATGGTTCTTCACTGCCAGGCAGGCAGCCACCAACACCAAGTCTCAAGCCTCAGCTGCCAGTTTTGCAGAGCCAAGCAACATAGTTCTGCAGCTCAGGGAACGTTTCGGAAGCCCCGCCCACCCAGGGGCGGGTTTTGCGCCTGCGCGCTCAGCCGCTGGCTGCGGGCGCGCAACCGGCATCCTCTGCGCTTGCGCGGGCGCTCACACGGTCTGCGTAGCTCCAGCGTCTCGGCCTCAAACCTTCTCCACGCAGGTGCCCCGCGAGCCCGGTTCAACCATGTCGTCCTGCAGCCGCGTGGCGCTGGTGACCGGCGCCAACAAGGGCATCGGCTTCGCCGTCGCGCGCGACCTGTGCCGCCAGTTCTCCGGGGACGTGGTGCTCACGGCGCGGGACGTGGCGCGGGGCCAGGCGGCCGTGAAGCAGCTGCAGGCCGAGGGCCTGAGCCCGCGCTTCCACCAGCTGGACATCGACGACCCGCAGAGCATCCGCGCCCTGCGCGACTTCCTGCGCAAGGAGTACGGGGGCCTGGACGTGCTGGTCAACAACGCGGGCATCGCCTTCAAGGGTAAGGACTTGGCCTGCCAGGGTAAGGTGGCCTCCCAGAGAGCCTCCTGCCAAGGCGGGTGAACCTATCTGAGAAGCCCTGCGGTTCCCCTCCTACTTCTAGGTTCCTGAACCGGCTCCCAGGAGCGGGAGGGCGGGGAGCTCCCCAGAGAGCCAGAGTTCTTAGGGAGGCGAAGGGTCTTCCAGCCAAAGGGATCTTGGTGTTTCCCTGGCTAGGACTACTGGGGATCTTTTCCAAGTTTTCTAAAGTATTTTAAGGTCAGACCTTAGGGAAGTTGGATGAAGTTTTAACTGATTTTGAAATAAACAAGAAATTGCAAAAAATGGACATACTGAGATCCAGTATGTGCACCCTTCACCCACATGACCCCCTTGGTACCGTCCTTCAAAAGTACTGTGTTGGATCGTCATCAAGCCAGAAAATTTGACGTAGGCACAATACTGCAACTAAATGCAGACTTCAGATGTAAGTCAACAGAATTCATAGGCACTATTTGTGTGTGTGTGTGTGTGTGTGTGTGTGTGTCTTTCTATGGAATGTCACCCCATGGCTACTGTCCTTTAACTCTGTTCTCTTTCTTCCATAAAAGTTGCTGATACCACACCTTTCCATATTCAAGCAGAAGTGACCCTGAAAACAAACTTTTTTGGTACCCAAGATGTCTGCACAGAGTTACTCCCTCTGATAAAACCCCAAGGTGAGTGTGGTGGGAACAGCTCACCTGTCTGTGCCCCGGGACCCGGCCCTGCTGACTCCCCGTGCTGCGGGTGCACCTGCCTCCTTGCTTTGTCTCCAGCCTGCAGGACTTTGTCCTTGCTTCTCCGGTGGCTCTCAGTGCTCTCTGTCCCGCTGGTCTTTGCTCACCTGGCTCTTCTTATCCTTCAGGTCTCAGCCTAGTGCCTCCTGAGAGGCTGTTTATTTGCTCTGTGCCCCTCACATGTTGCAGTGCGGTAGAATTTTTTCCTGCACCCTTTCTCTGCTCCATCAGATTGATCTTATTCAGGCTGGTGGAGCCTTCAATACCACCAATCCAGCAGGCCCTTCTAAAATGTGTCACCTGCCTAGAACACTCCCAGAGATGCTCCCACCCCCGATCTATAATAAAACAGACATTTCCAGAGGGTGTTCATTCTTCTCCCTAAATCATTTTGGCCACTGACCCCACTGTCCACCCACGAGGATCCTGCAGGTCACATGCCCTGCCCCCATATCATCACTGACCAAGGCCTAGCAGTTGTGCCCACAGAGTTTATCCTGAATCCACCTCATGCCAGCTCTACATCAGGCCCTCAGCTGTCATCCTGGACAATGGCAGACCCTTCCAAGGACCCTCCTTTCTTGGATCTTTTCCATTCCTAACATCCAACATGCTGTGCATGTGGTCAGTCTGCTCCCCCAAATCCTTCAAGTAATGGCATAGAAGATGAACCCACCCCTCAATACATAGCAATTAATACAAACAGCCACTTTTTAAAAATTTAAATACATTTAGGGTTTACAAGTGGTTTTTTTGTTGCATGGTTCAATTGCATAGTGGAGATGTCTAGGTTTTTAATATACTGCTAACCTTAATACTGTACATTTTACCCAGTAGGGAATTTTTCATCTGGGAGCCTCCCACACTTCTTGTTCTGAGACTATAGTTTCCATTAAGTCACTTTGCATGATCATGCATACCCACTGCTTAACTCCCTCATATAAGTGGGAACAGGTAATATTTGATTCTTTGTTATTGCATTGCTTCACTTAAAATAATGGCCTCCAGTTCCATCCGAGGTGCTCAATAAGCCATTATGTCACTTTTTGGGTGACAGAGTAGTATTTGAAGGTGTATATACACACCATATTTTGTTTATCTAGTCTTTAGTTAGTGGGCACTTAGGTTGGTTCACTATGTTTACAATTGTGAATTGAAGTAGCCACTTCTGGCAAGATTAAAATGTGTGGCCTAGAGTTGAATACTTACGTGCATTCTTAACTCCTAACCTCTTTCCTCAACCTATCATCTGGAAAGTTGCATTACTTCTAACTAGGACCTCAGAGGGCAGCTCTTTCAAATGTCACCTGACTGCTCAGCCAAAATTTATTGCCAGGAATGGAGTTTACCATGCAACTACCACACCTTCCATACATAGTCCTCCTAGAATTCATATTGGTAATTGCCTTTCAAATGAGAATTTCCTGGTCCAAAATCCCAGCATATTTAGCAATCACTACTCTTGGGGACACCTTTCTGCATAATGATTTGTGGTGTATTTTAGGCAGAGTGGTGAATGTGTCTAGCACGGTGAGTCTCAGAGCCCTTAAAAACTGCAGCCCAGAGCTGCAGCAGAAGTTCCGCAGCGAGACCATCACGGAGGAGGAGCTGGTGGGGCTCATGAACAAGTTTGTGGAAGACACCAAGAAGGGAGTGCACCAGAAAGAGGGCTGGCCCAACACCGCATATGGAGTTTCAAAGATTGGCGTCACAGTCCTGTCAAGAATCCAGGCCAGGAAACTCAGTGAGCAGAGGAAAGGAGACAAAATCCTCCTGAATGCCTGCTGCCCAGGCTGGGTTAGAACCGACATGGCAGGACCCAAGGCCACAAAAAGTCCAGAAGAAGGAGCAGAGACCCCAGTGTACCTGGCCCTTTTGCCCCCAGATGCTGAGGGGCCTCACGGACAGTTCATATCAGAAAAAAAAGTTGAGCAGTGGTGAGCTGGACTCCATGTGCCAGTCCATCCATGTGCCTCATTTTGTACCCTGTCCTGATTTGACTCAGGACATTTACAATGTCAAAAATATTGCTATCCACACTTACACACACACAAAAAAGCCGTAATATCTCTACCAAGTATTCACTAATGTACTACTGGGGTAGGCTACTCATTCCGTTGACTACTAATTCTATGAAGTCTTTTGATTTCCTTTGTGATGTAGGGAGAGAAAAGTGTGTAATTGCTCAAAATATTGAATGAATGTCAATAGATAAATAAATGGTTCAAGTACTCACATCTGCCAGTGGGTACCAAGAGAGCAGACAATATGTAAACCACGAGCACAGCTGGACTTGTCCCTTGGGCTTTCCAGAGACGTGGACAGTACCACAGAGGGAAAGGCAGCTGACTTGTTCTCTTTAAATAGCCAAAGTCATTCTGGGAAAACAACCAATTGCAGTATGTGAAACCTAAGTGGGGGCTTATATGAAACACCGGAGCATAAGAGAGAAACAAGAGTGTTGTTAAATTTCTCCAATGTAAATATGTTATGTAGCAATGAAGTGTCATGAGGTCAACAACATTAACATATGTTATATATGATGTAAAATATACACAGATGAACAGAGATTTGTGAAATATAACAATTTTAACAATTGTTGAGACTTAAAGGATGTATGGGTGTCTATTCTGTTCTTTCTACTTTTCTGTTTGTTGAAAGCTTTTAAAACATGAGGGAGAAGTTCCAAGCTCTGCCACCTTAGCTCATGAACTCAGGCAACATCACTGCATCTGACTGTGCCTCAGTTTCCTCCCCTGTCAAATGGGGATAATAGAGGACTGTGTGTATTGAGGTAAAGTGTTGAAAATGGTGCCTGCTGTCATGAGTTCCTGTAACCGGGCCTGACACTGTCCCCAGTGGGGATGGGGAACACGTGTTCACTGCCCAACACCCAGCTGGGCTCCAATGGGCATCAGTAAGAGCCCACGCCTTTCTGTCCCTCCCATGGAATCGCTACGGGTTGCGCAAGACCCCAACCCTCATGATTCCTCACTCTTCCCATGGTTTTCAGGCTTAGAGGAATAAAACATGATTGCCCCGTTAAAGCAAGGATGGGGCCCTTATGTTAAAGTGGGGTTAACTGTACAACTTGAGCCCTTCAACAGAGCTGTTCACTTCCTCCTAGTTATTGTACTTTTATAATCAGACACCAGAGCAACAACAATGTCTGGTCAAGACTGGTATCTCAAGTGCTGGTTTGGAAATGTATACTTGACTTGCAAAGATATTTTTCCTTTGGTACCCTAAAAATAACACCTAGCTTTAAGACATTTAAAGAAAGCATGATTCCAAATTCAAGGACCTCATTACCTCTGGGGTGTGGGAGGGAGGCTGTATTACTGAGGCTTGCTTTCTCATGCTGGGAGATAGGTGCATAGTTCTAAAATGAAATTTTCAGGAAAAGGCAAAATCATGACTCTCATACAGACTAAAAATAAACTTATATTTAAAAATGTGTTTTACAAATACGAGTAAACCAAGCAGATGTTATAACTGGTTCAGAGGGAAAGCTAAGAGGGTACAGATCTATATGGGAAAAAAAACCTAATGTTGAGCTGAATTGCAAGTGTTGACAAAACTGGTGTTTCCACAGAGGGGAGGAAGTCTAATCAGCACTAGACAGGGCAGCATTTGCATCCCTATCAGTTACCTAAAATGTAGAAAGAGAGGCAAAATATCTCTAAGAGCGAACAGGGCCATAGCCCTGTGCTACAACGCTCCCCTTGGAAACACCCTTCACTCTGTTGCAGAACCCTGGCAAAACCCCAACCCACGTCCTTACCCACCATGCTCAGCCTGCACCAGCAGCTAGATAGCCCCGGGGGAGGGATCACAGGAAGCCAATTGTGCTCTTTTATGTTACAAGTTCAATCACAAAGTGACCACAAATTCTATTATCCAATGCTGCCTTTTTCTCTAATAAATTGATTTTCCTTCTCTATAAAATCACTGTTGTGTCCTCTTATCTCCCAGGCTAGTCCCTCTCAATGATGGCCTCAAATCTGTTAGCCTTCAAAGAGATCCTTCAGAGAGAGCCATTCAACACACCTGCAACTAGACCTCCACTCTCTGCCTCCCCTTATGCTGCAAGAGAAGAGCTGTGCTCCTTCCCAGGCCACGCCCCACCTGAGTGCTCCATCCCTCCAGGGGCACCTCTAGCGTTTTGTTCTTGCCATTATTCGCTTTCTCTCCACCCAATCTTGCCTCTCTGAGATCACGATTGCATTACAGCATGCTTTCATATCTTTCTCCCAGCTTTTGAAACTGAGGAGTCCAGTCATACAAAGTAGGTTCTCTGACTGCCACGGAATGACATTAGCAATCAATTAGCAGCAAGATAGCTAGAAAATCTCCAAATGCTTAAAACCTTAAAAAATACAGTTCTGAACACCTGGATCAAAAAGACATTAAAAGTGTCAACAGAAAAGAATCCAAACTCTATAATAAAGACGTATATTCTGAGCCAAATGTGTGTGACCACGGCTTGGAGACTCACTCCCAAGAAGCCTTGAGCAAGTGGTCCCACCATACCACAGTTGGGTTAAACTGTACCACTGTTGAGTAACAGCTGGTTTTATATACTTTAGAGAGACAGGAATTGTTACTGCCTCCATGAGTAAACTCCAGTTATCCCTATATGTTTTTAATTAATAATCCTCTCCCTTAACTACTGGACATTTTGAGTTGTTTCCCAGAAATGGTGGATTTTTTGCAAGACAAAGGAGTTGAGATTCTGAAGGCCCCTGGGCATTTTCCTGATGCCAATATTCACCATCCCCCACAACCTGCCCCCAAAGCACCTGTCTCTTGTTAGTTACACCACTTGCCCTGAAGCCAAGCGGCCCCTCTATTAAAAGGGCATTACCCTCATTAGCCAGAGGGGCAGATTCGAGGCTTTTGAAACTATTCTCCCAACAAGTCTGTCATATGAAATATTCCTTTCTTCCTTGGCAAGCCTCAATTGTCTCAATAATTGGATCTTTGAGCAACAAGCAACTAGATCTATGCTGAAACCTCCGCCCCAGTTTCAACAACAGAATTACATGTAAAATGATCAATCAATCCATGGAAGGTGTACATGGCCTTGGCCCAAAGCAGAACATCTCTAAGTGGGGACTTACAGGTTATAGGAGGGTTTGAAGATTCTCTGATTCTTTGAGCCATTGAAGAAATGACGCTTTGCCCAAAGGCTTGGAATGTTTTAGGATAAAGATGTCTGTTAATCAGATAAAAGCCTTGGGACACTTACCAGACATCTGCAAAACTCAAGTGACCTGTTAACTACATTGATGGCCTGCATGTGTGCTTTAAGCTTGTCCCACATGGCCTTAGGCCTGTTAATGATTTAGTATCTTATTATTACAGAGAATAACTCCAGAATGGAGGGGGCAGAGCTAGTCTGACTTCCCTTCTCCTCATGGCCAACAACTCAGCTTGAAGGTTTCTCTGGGGTCCCCTGGGCCAAGAGGGGAACATTCAGTCATGTGGGGGACTTATGATTTTATTCTCTTTCATAATTCCCCCCTTTTGGCTAAGATCTGCCAGAGGCAGCATCAATGGCCAAACTTTACTTTGTCCCATCATTGCCTGAGTAGAGTGTCTACCTGCCCTGGGTCCACCTAGGAACTCAATAGACCCCTGTGTCCAAAGGACTTTGAGGCAAAAAGCTTACAGCCAATTAAATGTTCTGGGCCACACGGGAATGGAGATGGACAGGCACTCATCAACCTTTAAAAGCTCTTTGGCAACTACGTGCAAAACACAAAAGCCGAAAGCAAGGTTACAAACTTATCTGTAAGCGTTGAGCTGTTGTACTCCTGCATTTGGCTATAGACTTATAGCAATTTCTTATGTAAAACATAAGCACAGTTAACCATTTAAGATAAGAAATTTAGAGACTTTTGTTATATAGCAGTTTTTTTGCAATTACTGTAGTAATTTGTTTTCATGTTGCTGAAAATTTCTTATATATATATTTGTATAAACCCCATAGCTGGGAACAGCTATACCCACAAAGCTCTGTCACCATGTAGCTTGATATCCTCTCTGTAAGTATCATTTAAGTATTTGGGAAGCAAGAAATTCTTTATGGTTGGGATGCATGCCTGCACCATGTGGCCCTAAAAGGCAAAGTTTCTCACGTAGTAGCTGTTTGAGCATCTGTGTGTCTGTCCTTAATCTGGAGAGTAGGGACTCATTTTGTAAGCATAATACAAGGGCCACTCAGTCTATAAGACCAGGCTGGCTAAGGAGAAGCCATTTGGCTTCCAGTACCCTCTCGGCTTGTTCCGTCTTAAAAGTTTAATTAACTTCCTGCCTGCTTACACAGCTGGGTCACAAGATTAGAAAACCACCTTGAGGAAGAACAGAGAGTCGGAATAGGCCAACCACAGACTGCTGAGGACAAGACCCACCAGACCTGACGTGGCCCGATTACAGGACAGGGGATGAACACAGAACATAAAATAACGACACAGACACACAAGGACATGACATAACTCAAGCACCCAATGCACCGATCACTTTATTTTTATACCCCCCAGACCCAAGGTTAGTTCCTTGTACGTGAGCATCTGAGCATAGCAGTGATAACTTTCAATTCCGGAGTTGTTTCACAAGGGAACAATGGTCCCATGATCTCAGACCTCAAAACAGTTACTTAAGGCACTGGACATAGCTCAAAAGCCAAGGCCGAGATAAGCAACAGAGCAATGCAGCCATCAGAAGAACTTCCTGTTCTCTTTCCCAGTTGGCGACTCCTCCCCAGGCAACTGCTGGCCTCCACGGTGGAGCCTGTCTTAGGTTGCCCCTCCCTTGAGGACTGTTACCCATCATTGACTACCAACCATCACACGGGGCCCACCGTGTGGGAGCTAGGCAACATTTGCTTATGTGCAGAAACTCAAGCTCTTACATGTCATGAGGCAGCAACCGTGTCTGAAGAAAATGCTGACTACCGCTGCACCATGCAGCACACGTACATTACAGGCTACAGTGAATGACTAGTATAAGGCATAACACCAGAATTGGTCCCCAACAAGACCACCTAGTGTTTGCTGATAACTGGCCAGCAAGTCATGATGAGGAGCACAATGCTTGCTGTCTGGCACCAGCCCACTTTACCCCTTCCCTTCGTAAGCTGCTAGTAATCAGAGGAGATGAGATGGAGACAATAGTCCGCTGTCTCCTCTGCCTTCTGGCACTTGGATAAATCCCTCTCTGTCACCAGCACTCACCCCTCATGTCTGGTTCTCAGGATGTGGGCAGCTAAACCTGCATTCGCCAATGTGACAACCTGTCATAAACCAGAGGAACTTAGAGAGACTTGACAACTAAACATAAGCTATTCTGGAGGGGATCCTGGACTAGAAATGGATATTAGGGTAAAAGCTAGGGGAATCTGAATAAAGTGTAGAGGTTAGTTAATAATATTCTATATTGGTTTTTAGTTGTGACAAATGTACCACAGTACTAAAATGCTAGTAATAGGAGGAACTGGTCTAGGCACGGTGGCTTATAGCTGTAGTCCCAGCTCTAATGAGGCTGAGGCAGGAGGATCACCTGAGCCTCAGAGTTTGAGGTTGCAGTAAGCTATGATGACAACACTGCACTCTAGCCTGGGCGACAAAGCTAGAACTGTCTCTAAAAAACAAAACAAAAAAAGCCAACAAAAACTACAGACTCTCAGCACAAATGATTTCATCTACTCCTGCTCCCCTACATTAAAAGACTTAAACACTAAAATAGCTTCTAATAGCTCAAGGCTACATCCCTAGGATGACCCTGCCCCCCTTAAAGAACCTTCCTCAGAATGTTCAAGGCTACCATAAAAAAATTTTGTTTGTTCTAGTTAACATCTGGCAATAGGCCCCTGACCACCTTTTCCTAAAGCATTTACTAAAAAGAGCTTACAGTTGTGAATTCTTTCTTTGTCCCTGTGGGATTTCCAGGTTTCTGTCACAGTTTAGGAGTAGTCTTCTCAGGACCTGGAATCCATTGCCCTGAAATGGAATCAGCAGAAATGTTAGGGCCTCTGCCTTGCAGTCTTTATAGTGGGAAGATAGAATCCTAACTTGCTGGCTGCCAGCTAACAGACACAGCTGCCTGATCAGCATCCACACTGGCTAACCCTGCTGTCATTTTTCATTTCCCTCACTCTGCTCAACCCCCACTGTTTCCTTTCCTGAGCTTTCATTCTAACTTTAAAATGCACAGTCAACCTTGTACAAGTGAGAGTTGAGTTTCCTTCATGCTGGACCCTCTTCCTATAGCACTAGCACATTATTGATTGAAATCTTTTTCTATATATTTTTAGTTGGCCAATTAATTTATTTCTATTTTTAGTAGAGACTAAAAGGTCTTCGCTGAAGACCAGCCTGAGCAAGAGTGAGACCCTATCTCTACAAAAAATAGAAAAAGTAGCTGGACTGGGTGGTGCACGCCTGTAGTCCAGCTACACGGGAGTCTGAGCCAGGAGGACCAATTGAGCTCAGTTTGAGGTTACAGCGCACTATGCTGGCTCCAGTCCACACAGAGAGACCCTGTTTCAAAAAAAAAGAAAATAATTATTTAGTGTACATTATAAGGTATTTTGTTTTTGTTTTTTTTCCTTGAGACAGGCTCCCTCTGTCACTCAGGCTGGAGTACAATGGCCCCAGTGGCCCAGCCATTGCTCACTGTAACTCAAATTCCTGAACTCAAGTTATCCTCCTGACTCAGCCTCCCAAGTAGCTTGGACTACAGGCATATGCCACCATGCCCATATACTTTTTTTTTTTAAGTTTAATAGAGATGGGGTCTCACTATGTTGCTCAGGCTGGTCTCAAACACCTGACCTCAAGCAATCCTCCCACCTTGGCCTCCCAAAGTGCTGAGATTATAGGCATGTGCCACCATGACTGACATAAGGGTTTTTTTTTTTTTTTCCAGTTATTATACCCTTTCTAAAGTACCAATTCTGGAATAATTCTCTCCTCTATTAATTGTTGATGTTACCTTTTTCATATACTAAATTCTTATTAATACACGATATTTTGTATGTTACCTTTCTTGGAACATCCTGCCCAGTGGACCTGTCAATTCTTGTGTTGGGAGCAATACTAAAAGGATAAATAAATCAAAGTGAAAATCGTGATTCATGGCCTTGTTACAATTTGCCTTTTGAAACTACAAGAAACTCACCCTGTCCAAAGTTCCCTGTACAGTTGAAAATAAACAAAGCCGAGTTCTTTCTCTAATTATTAACTTTTCTAAAGCAACTGATTGGAAACCTACCTTGAAATTACAACATAATTGGATTTTACTTAAATTCATGGTGTCCAAGAGAACTTCCTGCAATGATGGAAATATCCTGTATCTGCACTGCCCAATTCAGTGACCACTAACACATGTGAACAGTGAGCACCTGAAAGGTGGCCGGTGGAACTAAAAAACTGAAATTTTAAATGTATTAATTCTGATTTATGTAAATCTGCATTTAAATGGCCACTGTGGCTACTGCCCACCTATGGAAAACACAGAAATGAAACTTGACCTTATAACCTTCTACTCTCTTGTCCTAAGCAGTAAGAAAGAAAACTCATTTCTCATCACCGAAATAATTTAAAAACTTTCTGAGGCTGGACCCATTTCTTCGTTTTCAAATGGGGATAGAAGACACATCCTGACATGTTACTTTGAGTGTAAAATATGTTGGGGAAGCCCTCTGTCACCTGTGCATTGCAGGACCCGGATACAGGTAAGACGATGGCCCCATAGTGTCCAGAGAGGTAACCCTGTGATGAGTTAGTAAATGTTTCCCACGTTATTGGAAAACCTGGCCAAGGATAAGCGGGCGGCTTTGCTTTCATATACTAAGGGGAGAAATCAGCCTGTCATTTTCTTCCAGATTCGCCCACAACTAGCTCCAAAGACTTCAAATGTGCATGGTTGAATAGTTGCAGGAACACCAAGAGACACCCTTAGAAACCAGAGAAGGAGGGATAAGGGATTTAGGCACGTGGTCAATAGAAATGATTTATCTCTGTTAGGCGGGCAGTGACCTGCACCAACCAGCCACTGTCTTCAGGTTGCTGGTCCGGAAAGCCCTGTCACGGGGTTCTCCTTGGCGTCCTCTGCTCTGTGGAGGTCTGGGGAGGTTCCAAGAGCCCCAGTGGCAGGGGCGGACCCTGCGCCTGAGCGGGCATCCTGCCTGTGTACACCTGGCACCCTCCACACTCGCTCAGACTCTCACACGCGCCGTGCAGCTCGGAGACCTCAGCCGGACCCCTTCTCCGCACAGGTCCCCGCGCGCCCCACTCAGCCATGTAGTCCTGCAGCCACGTGGCGCTGGTGACCGGCGCCAACAAGGGCATCGGCTTCGCCATCGCGCGCGACCTGTGCCGTCAGTTCTCCGGGGACGTGGTGCTCACGGCGCGGGACGCGGCGCGGGGCCAGGCGGCCGTGCAGCAGCTGCAGGCCGAGGGCCTGAGCCCGCGCTTCCACCAGCTGGACATCGACGACCTGCAGAGCATCCGCGCCCTGCGCGACTTCCTGCGCAGGGAGTACGGGGGGCTCAACGTGTTGGTCAACAACGCGGGCATCGCCTTCCAAAGTAAGGGGATGGCATGCTCAGAGGGGAGGTGGCTTCCGGGAGAGCCTCCTGCCAGGGTGGGCATACCTAACAGAGAAGCCCTGAGGGTCCCCCCGGCACGTGGAGGGCCCAGAACAGGCTCCCAGGAGCAGAAGGAGGGCGGGGATCTGCCCAGAGAGCCAGAGTTCTCAGGGAGAAGGAGGGTCTTCCAGCCAAAGGGATCTTGGTGTTTCCCTGGCTGGAACTACTGGGGATCTTTTCCAGGTTCTCTAAAGTATGTAGAGATCAGACTTTAGGGAAGTTGGATGAAGTTTTAACTGATTTTGAAATAAACAAGAAATTGCAAAACATGGATACACTGAGATCTGGTATGTGTACTCTTCAGCCCTCGCCCCCAGTGGTATCATCTTTCAAAAATACTGCCTGGAACATTCTCAAACCAGGAAATTTGATGTGGGCACAATACTGTAACTAGACGCAGACTCCTGACCCAACTCATCAGGATTCACAGGCACTATTTTGTGTGTGTGTCATTCTATGGAATGTCACCCCATGGCTACTGTCCTTTAACTCTGTTCTCTTTCTCCCCTAAAAGATGCTGATACGGAGGAGGGAGAGGAGGAGGGGAACTGAGAACCACACCCCCCCACCAGTGAATGTCCCACTCAGTCTATATTAATTGTGTGATCAGCAATAGTATCATTTGTTTTAGAGAATACGTATACCGTTCATTCTTGTTATCTGAGATATTTCATCATACGCGACACCTTGAACCAAAACTTAACCTAATTCTGTCCTACAATAATAGATGTTACACAATTTTCCAAGATAAGCTTGTTAAGTCTAAGTTAGAAACAGACCTAGCTGAGCATACCAATTAAAGATAAAATGTATAAGATGAGAACACTGAATCTGTGTACTACTGTAATATACATCTTCTAAACACAGAGACATGTAGTCAGGAGTGAAGTGGGAATAGCCTTGAAGACTAGGATGGTTCCAACTGCATGTTATCTGCTGGGCAGATATTTTAATAAGATCTCCGCAAGGACCCAAACCAAGCTTCTGCTTTGCAAAAAAGCTCAAGGCGCTGGCCGGAAGCAAAGACTTTGCAAACATCATCTGACAATGCCCCCTTGTTGGAAGCAGTTTCTATTTTGTGAACTAACATGTCCACAGATTCCTTCAAGGCAAAGCCCTGCAAACCTGAAACTTCTCACGTCTCTTAGCCTATCTTCCAACAGTAGTTGCATAATAAACTCCATCCCAGCCTTTAAATTTTAGCTGAGCAGAGCAGTCAGGTGACATTTGGAAGAGCTGCCCTAGAGAGTTCTAATGAATTGAGTCTTAGACATAGTTCCATATTCCAGGAAAACAGGACGAGGAAGCAGGTTAGGAGGTGAAAGTCCATGGAAATATTCAACTCTGGGCCATACACTTTAATCTTTCTAAAGGTGGCTTCTTCAATTCACAACTGCAAAGTTATGGAACCACCTAAGTGCCCACCAACTGATGATGAGATAAAGAATACATAACATATTTATTTATATGCCCTGGAATATTACTCTGCAATGAAAAGGAATGAAATAATGTGTTCTGCAGCAACTTGGATGGAATAGGAGACCATTATTCTAAGTGAAGTAACAGCAAAAAGAAATCAAATACAATATGTTCTCACAAGTGAGAGCTAAGCAATGGGTATGCATGGCCATGCAGAGCGACTTAGTGGATATAGGAGAGTCTGAATGAGGGGAATGGGGACTGCGAGATGAAAAATTACTCTTTGTGTACAATATACACTAGTCAGGTTATATATTAAAAGCCTAGACTCCTCCACTATGCTATTCTGCCATGTAACAAAAAACCTCTTGTACCCCTAAATCTATTTTTTTAAAGTGTCTACCTGTATTAATTGCTGCATTTTTAATGAGTGGATTCACCTCAAGTCTCATTAACTTGGGGTAAGCACTACAGTAGTTTACAATCAAACACATATGGTGGTCAAGTCCAGAACACTGAGCACGATGAAGGGGAGTTAACACGAGCTTGAAGCTAGGCAGCGGCAGATTCTGAACATCCTTATAAACCATGCTGTGGCTTGGACTTTGCTTCTAAAGGTCTCAGGGGAGGGGACTGCCATGCAGACAGTATGCAGGATGCAGAGAATGGAAAAGACTCAAGAAAGGAGGGTCCTTAGGAGGTCTGTAGTTGTGCAGGATGACAGCTGAGGGCTGTTGTAAGAGCTGGCATGAGGTGGATTCAGACAAACTCCGTGGGCACAACTGCTAGCCCTGGTCAGTGATGATATGGGGAAAGGGCATGGTGACCTGCAGGATCCTGGTGGGTGGACAGTGGGGTGGTGGCCAAGATGATTTAGGGAGAAGGATGAGCTCCTCTGGAAATGTTGTTTTATTATAGATCGGGCGGGAGCATCTCTAGGAGTGTTCTAGGCAGGTGACACATTTTAGAAGGGCTGCTGGATTGGTGGTAATGAAGGCTCCACCAGCCTGAATAAGATCAGTCTGATGGAGCAGAGAAAGGGTGAGGGTGACATCCTACTGCACTGCAGCGTGTGAGGGGCACAGAGCAAATAAATAACCTCTCTGAGGACACACTGGGCTGAGACCTGAATGATGAGAAAGAGCCAGGTGAGCAAAGAGCAGTGGGACAGAGAGCACCGAGAGCCACCGGAGAAGTGAGGACAAAGTCCTGCAGCAAAACTGTGCCTGGCAGGCTGGAGACAAAACAAGGAGGCAGGTGAACCTGCAGCACGGGGAGTCAGCAGGGCCGGGTCCCGGGGCACAGACAGGTGAGCTGTTCCCACCACACTCACCTTGGGGTTTTATCAGAGGGAGTAACTCTGTGCAGACATCTTGGGTACCAAAAAAGTTTGTTTTCATGGTCACTTCTGCTTGAATATGGAAGGGTGCGGTAT